TGATGGCGATACCACCCTCGGCGTCGCGTACGTTCGTAACTCGGATTGTATCAAAAAGTTTGGTGGATTCTTCGATAAACATTATACATGGGGTAAATCGATAAAGAAATTTAACAGCTTTTATGAGCATTTTATGGTAGAAACCATTCCTTCGAATCACTAAATTCTGTTTAAAAATAAATTTAATTCCAAAAATCTTACCTCGGCTTACACGGGTATTCTTTAATGATGCACTAACTGAAATCATTAACGTAACAGTGATACATGAATACATCGAAACACATAATATTATTGGACCGTCTCTCATGCTTGCTCGGGGAAGACCTCCTGCTCCCCCCTTGTCTCTCGAGGCCCCAGGGAGTACCTAGGGACAAATTCCCTATAGCATCCCGGCCTCTCTCAACGGTTGGCATCGGCGCCAATCGCGGCATCTGCGGGAGTAACTATGGAGTTACTCCTGCTCCCTACAATATTAATAACGCATTGGAAGTTTAAAGCAAATTAATCGGCAAGGCTCGCTCGATCGCTTGTGAGATCTTTTTCCGTTTCCTCTGGTGGCGAGCATGGGAGGCGACGCATCGACCAATCATCGATCTGGAGCTGTGACGCGGTGCAGCGCGCACACTCGCACATGCGTGCGAGCAAATTGTCGCGATATTCTTCAGGACCGTACCTAGCGAAAGACGAGCGGCGCCTGAGCGGATGCACACTGCTCGTCTTTTTGCCGTTTCGGAGCACATTACAATATTCATTTTGTGCTGTAGACTCCACGTACTATAATATAATATAGATACACGAACGCGCGTCTTTACGCCCAGTAAACAAAATTTTCTTTTCTTTTTTTTCTTAGTTAAAATATCATCGGGGAGTCTCGAGTCTGTAAGGTTTAAGATTTAACTCGTATACCTCGTGTGTGCTTTCACCTTGTGAATTTTCGTGGTCTAAAATAAAAATAATATCAATTTCTTGATTGAGCCTTCGTTAAAAAGTTATTAAAAAATTAAATTAAAAAATTTCAAATCCTCCAGGAAAAAATTATTTTCGATTGCGGGGGCCAATTACAATCATTTTTGGTGAATAGATATACCCTCGAAATCCTAACCATTTTCGAGAAAAAAATTCCTAATCGAAAATCTAATGCGAGGCCAGAATTTCATGCGTATCTTTAAAACGTCATAACTCCTGAACGGATTGGACGATTTTAATGTTTAAAAAAACAAACTACGCGTATTTCAGTGAATAATATGTAGAAATGACAAAAATATGCAAAAAGTTGATCCTTGACCCCGCAAAATGAGAAAAACCCCATAAAAATTGTCCAATCTTCAAACAGCCATAATTCCTACAATAGTGAATATATTTCAATGAAACTTTTTTCTGAAGTAGAGCTCATAGGTACCTACAAAAAAGTATTAGACAAACTTTCCGTAGCGCCTCAAACAAATTTGTTAAAAATGAAAAACGAATTTCTATAAAAAATCGACAGGGGGTAGGTAGCTGCCTCATTTTTCCGGCGAAAAAAAAAAATTTCAAATCGTTCAAAACAAATTATTTTCAGTTGCGGGAGTCAATTTCAATCATTTTTGGTCAATATATATACCCCCGAAATCCTACGCACTTTTGAGAAAAAAATTCGAGAATGTGTGAAATTTTTCAACAAAATTAAAAAATTTCAAACCATTCTGAAAAAATTATTTTCGGTTGCATGGGTCGATTACAATCATTTTTGGTCATTACACGTTCCCCCGAAATCTTGGACATTTCGGAGAAAAAAATTCAGTACGGGCGGAACTTTAAACGTTAATAATTTCTTAACGAAGCCTCCATCAACAAATTGGTATTCTTGTATTTTTCCCGATTTTCCCGACTAGAAGTAGTGCGAGCCTACAGTGCTTCATTAAAATCAAAGTTGGAACGGCTACTACCATAATGGATGTGCGCGCAAGATGTAAATCATCAAAATCTGCAAAACTGTAGGAGGCAATTTTAAAAAATCGCATACCAATGTTAACCGCATTAAGAAAAAGTGCATCCAGCTACATAAAATAAAGACAAAGTGTACTTACCTTCTACGTGTAGTTAATATAAATTATCCACATTCATACTTTTAACATTAACAGAATGCATTGAAACTTACGTAAACAAATCTTCGGTAATTTCTTAGTTTATATTTAACTCTTTGACTAGTACTTATCAAGCCAAGTGTAATAAATATTGAAAAATATTTTTACAATTAAATTAAGCGTCTACACATTTTTCGGATTTTTCTTTCATTTTCTTTTCCTTGTTTAACTCATCGCGAATAAAGCAGCGAAACGCTCGTCATTATTCGACCGTTAAATGTTTCCTAACAAATTTGTGTTGACGACTGGAAGTAGTTGGTTACAACAATTATTTCAGTAACGGTAATAAAAATAGTGTTGCTGGTTATTTTCGTAGAATTTCTTTTTTTTCGTTTTAATTCTGGCCCCAGCCGATTTCTTTTACAAACAATAGACAACGGAAATATTGAGATATACAGAGTGCTTCACAGCTTATAAATTGATAATCGCAGGCTTCGTAGCAACACGATGATAATTGTTGTTGTTATAATAACGTTTCAAGTTTTGCAGCCTCTCTTAGTTGTAAAAGTGCATTACGTTGTTAGAACGTTCAAGCAGTACAAAACATATTAACTAAATGTTATACGGTAAAAAGAGAAAAAAATAATGAAATGTTTTCAAGTCACGTAGTAATACTTTATTAATAACAAAAGTTGATCCGAAATTCACCTTGTGGGCGACCGAAAAGTGAAGTAATACGTCATTTTGTCGTTTTCTGTGACTTTTATAATACGTACGATACAATTTTTATTTCGGAATAATAATAACTTTACATCGAATTTTATTTTTATTACGGCGGCTTAAAAACCAAATTTGTAAAAAAACTTGACTTGCAAAAGGGTTCATTTATAGTGCAAAAATTGTAAAAATTACATGCGTAAGGCTGGAAAAGGAGAATGATATAAGATCATATCTTACAACAAATCCAATAATTTCTGTATAATATTTACCAATTCCAAATAATGCAATCAGGTAAATCACAAAATGTATATTTCCAATGAATTTTGAATAATTGAAAAGATTAATAAACTGTCGAACGATTTCTGCAGCAAGTAATAATACGTTCAACATGAAATAACATTCAAATATAATGTTACCTATCAAATTTCCAATAATCAACTAATTTACAACTGATGAAACACCCTGTATGCATGCAAAATGTTAACCGCAGTTTAACCGATCGGTCATCAACACGTTGGTAATCTACAAGCTGAATAAAATTGAAATGGCGTAAAAAGTAATCCGAACAACAATTTCTTTTTTTTAAATATATTTTTCTATCGTCCATTAAAATTTCTTTGAAACGATTGTTCGGACTATTTTACACGCTGTTAAATAATATTCAATTTCGATTTTACCGTTCAATGTATGTACACGAATTAATTGAAATTAATTATTTCACCGGATATCTATCTTCCGCGTATGCCACGAATATGTATACATATGCCACGAATATATGTATATGTGTCGAAGCGAATCGATAAATACAACAAGTATAAATGAAAATACTGCGAAACATTGTATGACATAAAAAAAAAAAGAAAAGAAAAGAAACCGATCTGATACTGATCGGCACCAAAATTGTCGACGACATTTTACCCAAGAGTACCATAAAACGAATAGAAATACGATACACTTAAAAACGGTAAGAATTCCTGGATGTTACTCAATCGGTAAGTTTCTGTTACATTTGTTAGCCCGTTCGCACGATACGGTTTTCAAAGATAGATGGATTCGGTAATATGTGAAACAATGTTCATAACTATCTGCACTATTCTCACGCGTTCATTTCAGGTTCTGGACTTTTTCACATCTAAACCTCATACAAAATCTATGCATAATACTAAAAACAGTTACAGGGCAGTCCCCACCGTTTACATTACACTAGTTATGAGAACTAGTTTAAGAACAATGGTATTTAATACTACAACTACCATTTAACATCTATTTACTTTTACTAGAGGGGTAAAGATAACTTGCATTCGATATAACATTGTATTTTCTTTATAAGCATTCGCTGCAAACTAAAGCAGACATATTTCTTTAGATGCAACAGTAAACGCAAGCATCGAACATGAAAGAATTCTATTTAAATTCTGAAATATGTATATTCAGTTTACTAAAAAAAAGTATTTCAACTATACAGAAACTTTTGAAATTCTAATAAGTTTTGTGAACAGTTGGATTTCTTTTTCACCATACTTTAGCTTTTTGAAACAAGTTAGTCCTATATTAATCCATCATTAAATTTCCTTACTTTTAAAACGTATACAAAGGGGAATCAACCCGTTAAATAAAGAATATTGATTGAATTTGGTCTTCGCTGTATGTACAGGCGTGAAAACGAAATTATCAGTAAGAAAACAACAACAAAAACTGTATCGTGTGAATGGGCTCTGTTCAATGACCCTCGGCTGAGACTCATTCTGTAACGAAACACGAGCTTTACAATACTGAAAAACATGAAAGGCATACACGTTTACGGAATACAAATCTCACAAAAAGCTTAAGATAACGAAGGCAATTCTCATCATCAGCAGACGGTCGAGCATCTCTGTTCTCGGTCGCGCAGAAATCTGCGCGAAGCGTCGTCGTTAAAATTCAACTAGCCTCGCGCAATGAAAGTCCATCGGGTTAATCGTTCGCGAACTGGAAGTTCTATTCTTTTTTTTTTTTTTTGTTTCTTTTCTTTTTTTATTGAAGCGAATACGACAGCTCCGCGAGCCACGCACGCACGAATCGTAACGCCTACAGTCTTAAACCGTTAAATTTTTGAATACGCTCGATGAAAATTCAATCGGCTACATAGAATGAACAGAGGATATGCAATGTGTGTGTTTGTTTGTGTGTGTGTGTGTATTTTTTTCTTCTTTTTCGTTCTCTCTCTCTCTCTCTCTCTCTCTCTCTCTTTGTGCAATGTTCCCATATTTACCATCGTTAAAGTGTATTTCGGAAATTTTTTATCTCTTTTTTGCGCTACGGAGAAAAGCCATTCGCCCTCGTTTTCCCTTAGAATTACACGCAAATCACACTCGAATATCTACGCGTCTCTCGTGGCTCGCCTCGTGAATAATTTCGTTTACCTTGATAAAATGCATCGGCACGCGACGCGATAAAAATTAATAAAAAACTATTCGTAAAAGATCGCAAGAATGGTGTGTGTGCCGTATCTACATACGCCGCGTTTTTTTCATTATCGTTTCTGCGATCGACTCTATTTAGGCTTGTTCTCGTCACCGATAACACGCGACAACGGAAACACGGGCATGCATTATCTTCTTTCTCTCTTTTCTTTTTCCTCTCTTGTTTCGACAACACGGCGCACGACGATATCGTCCTTCCACGAGAACAAGGCACAGCGTATTTACATCCCCGCTTCTGTTGCAGTCCGCCGACTCACAGGGGCATTGGTCGAAAACGGTTGACGAAGATCGGTGATAGCCGGACTGATCAGCGGACTGCAGCAACAGTGGGGATGGAAACCGCGCTGTGCCTTCTTCTCGTGGAACGACGCGATACTTCCGCGTATAATACTAACACGATTCTCACACGGCATGTCCGTTGTTCGTTATAGATAAATTAATAAATATAATATATATTAAATCGTCAAGAAAGCATTTTAAAAAATGAGAAAAAGAAAAGAAAATAAAATGTTTTGGTATTACAGGTTTTTTTTTCTTTAAACGTATTCCCTTGTCATTTTGTATTTTCAATTGTTTCTCTGTTTTTCTCAATGTGTTTGCCACTAGATTATTTTCGCATCGCACACACGCATACACAGACAGGAACAATCACGGGCGCTCTCCCCTTCCCCTATCTATACTACATATAATATTTTCGTTCTATCGGAAATAACTTAGTATCTATATCCAATATATTAGATATTAAATAATAATCGTATCATCAATATATTAATTTTAAATAATATAATTTCTAACAAAACACCCGCCACTCAACAAATAATCAAAAATATACGTCGACGTTATGCTTATTTGGAATTTCAGTAAAAATAATTACATCCTAAGATTTCTACTCATTATTATAAACTCTCGTGTAATATAATTATAGTTATTGGCTAACGTAAGGGTTTCTCGTAATTCACGAATACGTTTTGGCATACTACGATGCGATACATTAACTATACGCTAATGAATAACATGTGACTCCAAATAATGAAGATATAAGGGATTATCATATAACCACGTTTTTTTTCATCCCTAATAATTAGGGAACGTGATTTTCAAGTTAAATAAAGCAATAAATGTTCGTTACAAGAGATGTACAAATTGTGACGGGTCAGAACGTAAATGTTTCTAAAAATAACATTTTTTTTTTTTGTTTGCGATTTCCACGTCGCAATAAGAAAAACTATAATTTCATTATTATTTTTTGCTTTCTCTTTCATTTAAAAAACGTAGAAGAAAACAGACGATTCCGTACTACGCAGCGAACGAATATAAATTATCATTATAAATAGATCTATTAATCGTATGATTTTTTTTTTTTTCTCAACGATTCAACGTACTCGGTAAAGGTCTGACTTTGTTCAGAAGCGTATGAACATTAACTTAACATTTATAAATTTACAACGAAAGAAACGATTAAATATATTCCGTGATATGGCAGTTTGGATAAAATTCGAATTAGAATTTTTTTTTCTTTTTTCTCGATCTCCGATAAAGTCTTGTGTAACTGTGTTTCGAGTACGCGAAGCCTACCGTCGTCTCCAGTAAAATTTCCAAATCCAATCAATTCCATTTCGCGATGCTCCGCTATCGACGGTTCTCGTTTTAAAAATGAAACTTACGTTACGTTACGCATATTAAAATAACGCATGTGTATGGGTTTTGTGAACCATCGCAAGACAATGGAAGTGTTCCTTCATGTTAGAACCGAATTCGCCTAGCTTCCGCTTCTTGTCTTGTCCCGTACAACACATCGCATACATTTACTATTTTTTTGCTAAATGGTCAAGTACCCCAGGCGTTTGATTTCTACCTTGAAACTGTTCGAAGGTCTCCTCCAAGGAGGGCGCCGAGATACATACCATGTACGTATTCGTATCTCCAATGTGAAAAATACTCATTTCACTGTTATAAATACTATCTCACAAAAAATATGATTCTCTCTATAAAATTGTCAAATTCTATTATCTCCCTAAAAACGTGTTGCGCTCGCGATAAAATAACCCGTATTGACAAAACGGCGATCGTGTCGTGTCGTTTGTCGTTCGATAGACGAATACAGAGCCCTCTATAGAAACGAACTTTTTATCGAGGAGCTTGCAAGAAACAACCGTTTCTCGATAACTTATTTGAAAACCTCCCGTGCCACGTTGCTATCGAGCGGCATATTTTCATACTATTTTCATTGCATCGACTCGGAGATACATGCTTCAACAAAATACTAATCATCGAAATTGATCAAACGATTCGTTAAAATTTCTATCGTATCGTAAATTGGAAACGTAGAAAACGGGTTAAAAAGCATTTGCCTATCTTATAACTTTAAAACAGTATATATATGTGTGTGTGTGTGTGTGTGTGTGTGTGTGTGTGTGTGTGTGTGTGTGTGTGTGTATTATTCGTTCGTTATCGTTCCTTTCTCTTTTACGAAAGTTGAAATTCAAATTTCTGCATTACTATACTCCACGAATCTAGTGTTTTTCTTGCCCTCTTAAAACATAGGACATCCGCATGCGATAGAATAGATCATTCCAACAAATCTAATACGCGATGTATACATAATAGTCAACGTAGAAATAAAAAAAAATGTGTGAATTCCCGATGCAATCGTTTACCATTAACAAAAGTATACCTATGTCTATAAAAAATCCATATATTTACGCGTGTACCCCAAAGCTTTAAAATTCATCGAAAATTAATCTAAATCCGTCGTCTTTTAAAATGTAAATCAATCGATGCAATTACGCTTGAAGGGAGACCTACGTCCAGTTTCAATTTTTACTGCAAACTTTGTGCATTCCATTGGTTCCTGTTCAAAGCGTTTTATAAAAAATCGAGTCATCCAGGATTCTTAACAAGTTTTTTACCACGATAATCGTAAACGCGTCGACAAAACAGGACCATGTCCGAGGGCACTGGTATCGGAGGCTGTCGATTTTCTCGTGGATATATTTGATCTCCCGGTGGAACTATTAAACCGGGACTCTCTAATCCCTCCTCGATTCTCCGTAAATTTTTACGATACCTGCAAATTGTATTAACATTCATATACATATGTATGTATATTACGACATTTAGTTATCTCAGATCTAACATTTTTTTTAGGAATAGTAAAACCCGCACATTATTAACATTTATTATTATTTTATATGACGAAAACATAAGAACGGCTCTCTTAATGAGATAATCATTTTACTCCTATCCGTCTTTTAAACTGTTTATTCTCGAGATATTTCAAGTTTGCCTGACTGAAACTCATTTGGTAAATGACAATTTCAGATTGGAATAATTGTAATAATAACAGCATCGACTATAGTCCGGTGTGTAACGGCATATTTCATGGAGACAAAAGTCGATTCTGGACATTTAGGACAATGACCCTTTTATCGGTCATTTTATTCAAGCTACCTTCGTAATACCGATAGATATTTAAAATTTGTATTTATTCCCGTATATGTAAAATAAAACAAAAAAACATCAACTCACCGACAGTATTCATTGAATGTTAAAATATAACATTTATCTTCTATACAAGCAACACTGTTTGCATCTCGATGCCGTGAAGCGAACACTTCGTCTTCGGTATCGTATTGAGTTCTACCTTGCTCGGTATGTTCTGGTCTATAGTACCACAATAGGGAAAACATCATTTCGCCTATGGAAGAAAAGTTTATGCTATATTATGCTTCTCCGCGAGAAGAAGGCAAGGGGCACAGCAGAACGTGTTTAAATCCACACTGTTGCTGCAGTCCGCTGATTGGCTGTCACCGTTTTCGACCAATGCCTGTGGAGTCAACGGACTGCAACCAAGAGTGGGGGGATGTAAACACGCTGTGCTGTGCCTTGTTCTCGTTTGAGAATGGTACGTGTCGTGCGTGATTTGCGGTATTGTACGCGGAAACGTACCATCGTCTGGATTTTCCCATAATGCGGCAATTTTTGCTACGAATGGCAAATCAGCTTTTCGTAGACCACTCTTTAGTAAAACGCAGTCGCGAGGTCTTAGAACGTCGCCACTTTCGTGCTTCATGCTCGCGTAACATCGACGTATAGCCGACTCCTCGTTCTGTAAAAGACACGACAACGAATAAATTGAAACTATCCCGTAGCATACTTGTAACAGGAGAAAATTTAATCGTCACACTTTTACCGTTAAATAAACTTTGGCTTCAAACGGATAACCCTCCCAACTCCATCCGTTACTCCACTTGGGTTTTAAAAATGTTTTTCTAGTCAGTATTAAATTCTCACTGCCTACTATACACTCTTCGACCTTCGAAGCGGATTTCTTAACGTACACCTTTTTCGTACTTTTTCTCTTCTTCTTAATTAAAGCTGGCTTTTTACCGATCTCGCAAACATCCTTCGCTTTCGCTTTTGTTGTACTATCGTGCTTTTTACCGTTATCCTTTACCTTCGTTTCGTGCACTTTCGATTTACCCTTTCCTTTCGGTTTATTTTTATCGTGTGCCCTTAATTTCGTCCGCGTGTCCGCTTTACTTTTAGACAGGCCGCACTTCGTAGTTATCTTCGATAATTTCTCCGACGTTAATTCTTTCATCGAATCAACCTTTTTAGTTACCTTTTTCACCGTAGACAACGTATTCGCTTCCTTCTTCGTTTTCTCCGGTTTCTCTGCGTTCTTATTCTTCCGGTCTTTTTTCTGCGTCATTTCCAAACTTTGCTGTATAACGTTATTAATAGTTTCCATAATGGAATTATCACTGGCAGCATGCTTGAAACAGCTTTGAATATTGTTACTTGTACTCTGCTTACAAATCTTCGATTTTTTTATTACGTTCTCGCAACAAGTTGGATTCTCCACTTTCCGTTTTTGATTCTGACCATCTTTCCTGGGTTGCTTCTTTTTCGAAATACACGCGTCGCCGTTGTTACCATCGATCTTTTTTATAAGAGACAAAATTGGTATAGTAATTTTTGGCGAACAGTCGGTGTTGCTGAAATCTTGCGACGAGCCAACAGAAAGTGTCCTTTTACTCACTTTCCTTTTCTTTCTACTGTCGGACAAGCTATCCAAGGATAGCTTTCTTTTCGACACTTTTTGACATTTTGGTTGTTCATCTTCTGTGTCGGATCTTTCTGCGCTATCTTTCTCTACGGTTTCTTCGATAGTTTCCGGTACCGTTGGCTCGTAATCCGGCTTCTTCCAATTTTCATTCTCGATCACAACAACATCGTTCAACTCCTCTTTAACATCGGGGTCCGTGTCTAATTTATCGTCAAGTAAAATACCAGAATCCTTGTCGATCTCCAGAATGGCCATTTGACCCTCTTTCATACACTGTTCGCATTTCATTATGTCGCACTTGTAATCCGATTCACACTTAACATTACAATTTGCAACGCAGGACAAGTTATCCCCCATTTCCACACTGCAAGACTCGCACTTCACATTATTATTTTCCAGCTTGAAACTGTGAAACTTGTTGCCTGGGCACGTTGGCACGGTTATCTTTTCGCTGGGCGAAAGAGTTTCCATTTTAACCTCACAGGTCGACGTGCATGCACGTTTCTGACACCCACACTTTTCTAACTTATCTTCCGCGGATTCTTTTTCATCCTAGAAAAATCGCTTTATTAATTTACTTGTAATCGAGGCTGACGCGTACAATGATGCTTTAACGATCGATTTTTATTGTTCTAGGATATCTTCGTCTACGCGATCTATCCATTTCTACATTTCCACTTGAATGTCGCGTTATTAGGGGAATACCTCTATTATGATTGCAAAAGTAAAGTAAAAAATTTAATGCAAACCTTATCCTTGCAATCCGAATTTTGAGGGCGGTTATGCCCACCGACTAGATTGTGAGACGGAGGGACAGAAGTTTGGTTCTGATTCAGGTTGCGATGAGTGTTAAGTTGGACGCGATCCGTATCCCAGGCATTGGCACCGTGAGGTGGCGCTAGCCCGGCTAGCCCCCTCGCCGGCGAGGGCGGACCTACCAAAGCACTGGGCGGCAATGACAGACCGGGCCCCGATACCACTGGCGCTCCCTTACCATTACCAATAAGGGGCCCAGTATCCACGTTTTTTGGACAAGATTGCATCGGGCATGGGCAACCCTGGAAGGCTGCATCTAACACAGAAATCATTCAACGTTTATCCATAGGCTTGCCTTACATCAAAACTAATTCATACTCGTAAGAATTTCGGTATACTTTGACATTAACAGTTGGACAACTGCCCGTGAAAAGATAATCGAAAACGATTCGAATAATATGTACATAATAGTCCGGCAGGCCACGATATACCGAGGTCGTAAGCTCCTGTAGGTGTCACAAGATAGTCCAGTTACGGACACAGAAAGGCAGCCTCAAGCAACATGTCATGTATACATACGGCCCTAAGTGCCGCAGCAGTAATCGGTCCCAACTCTCAACAGTTTAGTTTACGACCTCGCTATATCGTGGCCCCCGGGGACTATACAAATTCTCATACTTACGATCTACAAAAGGTCTTCCTTGAGAATGCAAATATGCTGGATTAGGTGGAGGTGGTGGTGGAGGAGGAGGAGGAGGAGGATATCCACCGTAATAAGGAGGCAGCGGATATTCACCGGGTGGTGGCGGGGGTGGTTGATAATCGACGACTGCTGGTCCTCCTGCAGTGGCACCACCACCAGGACCGCCACCTCCGCTAGATTCCTGATATCCATAATATTGCCTGGAAATATATATATATGGATATATATATATATATATCTTTTTACGGACAAAAATAAATATCCTAGTTACCCGTTATGCAAATCACAATTTATTTTTACCTTCTGTATGTTGGTGCATATTTATAGTAAGGAGGTGGATGAGCATGTGGATGAGAATATGCTGGTGGATAGCACAGGTCTGAATATTGCGGCGGTGTACCGTAATATTGAGGACAATATGCCCTATAGAATCCGCCTCCTGAAACAAATCATCGAATTCATATATGAAATCATAATGGTAAGTGAACCCAAACAATATCCAAGTTTAAAGATTTAAAGACTATGAGATACTACAGCGCATTCACCGCATTAGTGAGATTCATCTCCTAAAAAAATGAACATTTCTTGTAACACCTAGACATATTGTTAAAGAAAATACCAACTTAAACTGTTCACATGGCATTGGTAAAAGATCCTCCCAACTGTGTATGCTCTCTTTAACAAAACGGAATCGTTGATACGTAGTAGATTGGACGTATGAAAGTCCTATTCCAATTTGATCAATTAGAACGTTTCATTTAAGGATCTGGATTTTACAAGATCCAGATGACGCAAAACTTTACCACTATGTATGTTTTGCATAGGTAAAGCACCAACGATTACACGACGAGAGTTCGAGAGCAAGTATTGACGATGGTCCGATGCAAAGGATTCTTGTATCCTTTAGTGAATCAACGAACACTGATATTTCAAAAACGATTACTAATTGTCCGTTCTTTTTCTTGCGATGATTCCTCTGAGGTAACGGACTATGCGTCATCGTAGATATGTGTATTGCTGTTGCGTATTACGAATTATCTAACACCGTCCTAACCGTACGATGATAACATGCATATATTTGCTTACGTGCAACACATATGTATACACCACTACTACTGTATCATCAAATAACGCTATTCAGCGCGAATTTTGATTTTTTTAGCAAAGAAATGATAAACATCACGCAATCCTTTTAAATTTCCTCGTTCCAAACGCGAACTCGTAAGCAGAATTGGTTTATTAGTAATAGCAGTTTTCTTTAGTAAATATGAGTATTGAATGTAGCGTGATGTGACAACTCCCGAGATATTACTATTGTTATTGTTTTAATAAAGTAAATTTAATATATAATTAAGCCAGCTTGTATCGCTTGTTTGGAGAACAATATTGATCCAAGATAATATTTTTCGCCGTATCGAAAGAGTTAAAATAAGATGTAAATTAGTAATTTATTCGTGCCTGTACTGCTAGTTCCCCCAGAAGTTGTTGAAGTTGCAACTAAATCATCCGAGCCTTCGGAATTTTGGGGGGGCGTCGGAGTTGGTTCTGGCGGAGGCCCTTTAATGGGTGGTAAAGTTGGTGGGTGCTGTATCAGTGGTCCAGCCGGCTGATAATACCCTAATAAAAAAAAAAAGGAATTAAGACACATACTCGATATCAAATGCTATTTTTTCCCCGGATCCTTCCGACGACTGAAAAACTTGTTATATTTATCTTTTATGTTACGCATTGTACTAAACTTACCATGTTGATGCGGTGCCGAAAATGCAGAATGTCTTCGAGGCGACATGCTTGGATGATTACCTTGACTACCTGGTGGTTGCATAGAGGATAATGCTCCTAATGGTGTATATGATTTACAAGGTTGCTCCAACTTTTGCTATTATATATATACATACATACATTTATCGATAAATTTTTGTTAAATGTTAATTCTGTAAAGGAAATTTTATTCGAATCATAAAAGTTACCCACCTGTTCATGAAGGTCCGTAGCAACCGCAGTAGCTGCAGTTTGAGTATGACTGGTTGAACTTATTCTATACTGCATACCAGCGATGCTACAGAACCCCTCGTGATGAGTGGATCGAGTTTGATTTACATAAACACCTTAAAAGAAAATTCCCATTTTAATAAATTCTAAAGATAGAGAAAGGCGAGAGTGTTTAAGTAATACAACTGTTTGCAGTACCAGTAATAGTAACGTCTGTATCCTGATTCACGATAACGAGTTTATTCGATGGTTTTAGAACTTCGTCCTGTTCAGAGCTCTGTCTCGATTTCCGTTTCTCGATATCGGAATCGTTTGGTTTTCGTTTCCTAATAATCTCCACTTCTGACTCGCTCGAAGAATCGGAGCTGCTACCGCAACGATTCTTTTCGTCCGAGTAAGAAGCGGCAAGAATCGCAGTAGCATTCAGGCTCGCCATTCTTTTGCAAACCACCATATCCTTTAAATCCATTACTTCTTCGTTCTTTTTCCTTCGTTTGATAATCTTTTTCTTGTTGTATTCCATAGTTTTCTCGCGTTCAAAGTCATCGTCCGAAGAAGACGAGGACGAAGAGCTTTCCATCATGTCCCAATGCTTTCCGCGCAGTCCCGGCACGTTCCGAAGTTTCCTTTTCGGAATATTTTCCTCCCCGCCTTTATTCTCGATCTTCTTCTCCTTCTCTTTTCGAACGTGCTCCTCTTTCTCCTCTTTAGCTTTCTTTTGTTTCTCCTTTTCAGGTTTTGGTTTGCAAAATCCACCAAGGTACACGCCACCGGTTTCGTTCTCGTACAGGCAATGAACTTTGGCCAACGCGTTCAACGAAGCCACCCTGTGTCGTTTCGGTCCGCTCCAAAAACCAAACAGTCTCATTCGTCGAAGGCGTTCATCGGACGGCGAACTGGCTCTTTCCTTCTTCTTAATTTCCTTTTGCTTGTTCTTCTTTACGTCCTCGTCGCTCTCATTTTCTGAATTTGACGATAAAGCATCCTCGTCCGAGTTCTCGCCGTTAACTGTTTCGTCTTTCACGTTTGCGTCGACTGGATTTTCGCTATCAACTTCTTCTTGTTTAGAAGAAACGCTATCGTTCGGACTAATTTCGCAAACCTTTATTTCTTTACCAGATTCAACGGCACCGGTTTCCTCGGAGGAGGAAATTATTTGATTGCTGCTCTCCATTTGTACTTTTACACCCTTCTTTTTCATTACTCTTTTACCAATTTTTGAACTATTCTTAACAGACTTTTTAATATCCTGTAATTTTGACTGCAACGATTCTTCTTTACTATTTTTATCAATATCTTTATCTTCCTCTATCTCGCTTTTTACATTATTCGTTTCAGATTCTACGCTTAATTCTTCTTTACTTATAATCTTTTTGTTCTCGTTTAATGATTTTTCTGTTTCCTTGGAATCCATTTTCTTTTTAGGTATAGCCTTCTCCACCAGGGTTTTAAATTTATCATCTTTCTTTAACGTACTGCTTATTTTATTACTCTTCGAAGGCAACTTAGCTTTCATATGCTTCTTTAACTTTGGTTTCTTCTCTTGCATTACTTTAGTTTTAGAAATATTGATATTTTTCTTTCTTGCTTTTAACATTGCATCGTCTTCCTCGCTAGTCGGTGTATCTTCATCCTTTATCGATTTGTTTTGCTTGATGTTCTTGTCCACCAGTTTCTTAACTATCGATAAATGTGATTTTTTTGCCAAGACGGTTTTTCGAGAAATACCTTTCTTCTGCATCGATGTTGTTTTCGTATTCTTTGTATTTCGCGTTACGGAACTTTTACTATTTATTGTACCTTTCTCAAGAAGCTTTTTACGTTCTGATTTTTTATCTTTTATCACAGATATCTTTATGCTTTCTTTTATGTCCGGTTTCATCAGTTTTACATCCTTCTTCTTCTCGTCTTTACATTTCTTTTTCTCCACCGAACAAAGGATATCTAACTTTTCTTCGTGTAAATCATTCACTACCGTAATGTTTGAGAGATGCATTTCATCGTTTACACTCTCGTCGTCGAGCTTCCCGCATTTCTTTTTATCTTCCATTTTTTCAACTTTCTTCTTGTTTTCTATAAATTGCTTTTCAGACTTTGTTTTATCTTCTATTTTTTGTACTTTCTTTTTTTCCGTAATATCGTGAGTACACTCGTCGGTGACTTTTTCTTCCGTTTTATCAAATTTTTTCTCCTCTGCTTTCTCCCACTTTCTTTCATGATCTTTAACGCATTTCTTCTTTTCGTCAGGCTTTTCAGATTTTTCTTTCCGTTTATCTTCAACCTTTTTCTTATCCTCTACTTTTTTCCTTTCTTCCCCTTTCTCTGATTTTTTCTTATCCGTTTCCATCTTCCTTTTTACATCCTCCAACATCTCGAGCTTCTTAGGCTTTTTCTCTTTTCTTGCATCGGTTATAGCTTTCTCTAAGAACGAACGACGTTTTTTAGCAATTGTCGGCATTTTGGTTGCCTTCCGGGCAACCATTGCCTTTTTCTGTGGCTTCATTATGATTGTTTTCTTTACATTTTCGGTTTAACCAATATATGCTCAAAGTTCATTAAAGCCCTGAGCACACAATCAAAACTACCTCACTGCCATTATAAAATGTAATAAATATTGTAACTTGTGCTAGAATTGACTGTATCTGCAAATAATACAAGAGAAATCTAATGTTATTAAATGGTTATTACAAAAGAAAAAAATAGCATACAACATATAAATATAAAATGGAGTACTTTCTCAACAGTTGCACTACCATTGTGTCCATCCACAATTTCTACTTTAAATATTAAACATTTCACTAACAACGGAGTAATTCGTATTTTGTTCTTTTTTCAAGGAAAACCCAAAGGTAACGATCAACTGACATTTATAATTTTCGACGTTGTTTAGAACGAAATACGATATTTTACGTGCACTAAAAACATAAGTGAAATCGATGCATTTCTATGTTCTCGTTTCCAATAATTCCCATGTACGAATTTTATAAGGAAGAGCAAATGAAAAAGAATTTCGATCGAGTGTGTCGGGTGCGCGCACTTTCATCGACTTGTTGACAAATCGATCCCTTTAAATCTCGCTGCTTCCATCATTTAACATACATTACCGAAACTCATATTTTAAGGTTTCATGCCAGATTACCACGATATTTTCAGAGCAATGAATTTTCACGAAACGATACACAGTTCGCGTTCTAAGTGGTAAAATTAAAAGGACAAGGACACCAGGATACCTTTTAAATGTATCCGTAGATGGCCACAAGTGGCTAACATAAACTTAGTCTACTGATCGATGAATTTGTCACGTACGAAATTTTCCCAGGCTCGTACACACTATTACGATAGTCAAGAAACGGATATATTCGATAAACCAATTCACAGAATCCCGTAATATATATATATATATATATGTATATGTATATGTATATGTATATGTATATGTATATATCATCGAGCGATAAGAAGATAAATGTAAAGCTATGCATAATTTATGTTTACCTCTAGCGAGCCCTTTTGTTCCTACGTACGGCCCGCGAACGCTTTTTTAAACGATAAATTAATACACCAATGCAGTTGACCAGCGTGATGATATTTTGCTCAAATACACCACCAACAATAGCGACAACACGACTATTTTGCCAATGCTTTCCGTTTTGGTTCGTCAAGTCTAACACGGCATTTGCATTTCGTTCTCCCAAAACACGTATCTCACACGACGTCCCTGCCCTTTTACCGTTGCCTTGTCGGCCATTTTCTTCCTCGCGCCGCTCCCCCACTCCTCTCCTTACGCGTTACCAAATAGCAAATTTTCTCTTTAGTTCTCTCAAAGACATCCGCTAGATGGTATTGCTTCTCCGCCGTCGAACGAATAAAGATTTTCGTCGTCTCTTGTTCCGAAATTGAAACCGAACGGAAAGGAGAGGTATAGATAGAGTTTAAACCAACAAAACTCGAACGAAAGAAAAAGGATTACGTTACCGTTCAACAATAATAAATGGTGTTTACTTTTCTCATATTAATCATACAATTTGTCCGAATAATCCGACTTGAACGAACATATAAAAATATATACTATAGATTTTCCAACAATCATTATTTATAAATACATTTCAGATGCATTAAGAAAAATATATAAATCCATAGAACAATTATAACAATGTATTATTTTCACTGGAATCCTTCTTTCGCTTGATTATGTGCAATTTCTTAATCCCAGTAACATTGCTTGCACTACATCTCCTTGATGTACTTCAGATATTTTCGCTGTACGTCCTGGTAACATTAATAATGCATTTGCCTCTTTGCAGCTAAGTAATTTACTACTAATTTGGTTCCCGGTACTGTAAGCCAGCGGCAAAGTATCTGTATCGTTCCATTTTAAAATTGCTCTTGCATATTCCGGACGTGGATCCAAATTATAAGATGTCGTCAACTGCCATTAAAATACATTGTTCAATACTACGAAACTTAACGATCGGTATTGAATAAAAATACGACATACTTTGCTCTTTAAAATAGTAGGCGTGGAAGAGTCCTTGCACAACAACTTTAATAGAGGCAATGCAAATAAATGCATAGTGACCGTTGCAGAAACTGGATTACCTGGCAAGCATAATAAATATTTTTTTTTGCCTTCGAACAAACATGTTGCAAATGTAGTTGGTTTCCCAGGCTTCATATTCAAGCGTCCTACACATATGTTTATTATTAATTTTTTCGCGTAAAGTCACCGGCCGTGTTAAATTACGATCTTTTTAATAGTATTACCAAAGTGTATCGTGGCATTAAAATGATGTTGTAAAATAGGCTTCAACATATCTCTATCGCCCATTGATACGGAACCCGACGTAATAAGAACATCGACTTGTTTCAAAGCATTCTCAAGTTTATTTATCATGATAATCTCCCTGTATAATATACAAATTACATAGTTAATAACTCTAGTTCTTACCTTTCCGAAATGACCAATTAATACTTACTCGTCTTGTGCAATACCCAGGTCCACAGGATCAAGGCCATTTTCTTTTAATAGCGATAATAAAGTAACTTTATTACTATCGTATATGTGCCCAGGCATTAAATCTGTTCCTGGACATTGTAATTCGTCTCCGGTGGATAAGACACCAACCTTTGGAAGATCAATAACTGATACTTTTGTGTAACCACATGCAGAGAGAAGACCTAATTCTACTGCTCCAAGTTTTGTTCCTGCCTTTAAAATTAATTCTTCTTTCTTGATATCACAGCCAATGGGTCTTGAAATAAATTTTTAAATAAGTCCATCGTATTTTTAACAAATTTTTTTCCCTAAATATCGCACTATCATAAAAAGTCAAGTACTTACCTGATGTCTTGTCCGTGTTTTATTTCTGTCAAAATTTCAATTTCCTTTTCCTCTGTATTATCCAAAGTTCCTTCTAATAGTTTAGTATCTTCAACTTGTACAACTCCTGTTGCATCTGTAATGTAATAATATTACTTTAATCGATACTTAAGTAAATATTGTATATTAACTTACCATCTGGAATCGGAGCACCTGTATTTACCCTTACACAAGTACCAGGCTGAAGTTTAATTGCAGTGGCCTATAAATTTATAAATTAGTACGATCGGGCATGGGGTAATTCTACGTTTAAAAATAAGTCGAAAAATGAAATAATATCACTTACGATGTCTCCTGCCTTTATTCCGCTTAAAACTTTCCTACTGCCTTTTCCATCACTCGCTAAGACAGCGTAGCCATCTTTAATAGAAGCTCTAAACGGTGGTAAGTTATATTTGGAATATAAATCACAACACAATATTCTACCATAAGCTTCTTCCACGGCTACTAACAATTCAAATTTTAACGGTTCTGTGTTATTATGTATCATTTGTAAAGCTTCTTCGACAGAAATCATCGGATATGGTGATTCTCTACACCGATCGACTACATTTCCTAAACACAACTACCAAAATATGGTTTTGTATATCTATATGCTTTCGGTATAAAAAATTATAAAAATAATACGAAAAACGAATCTTACCAAAGTCTTTTTCTCACATTTGTGAGAAGAAACATTTCTAACGGAATTATTTTGTACATTTTCGTGCGTGTCTTTTATTTGTTTTCTATTGTCTCTAAGTAAATCAACCGCATGTGGAATAGCAGGTGCAATTACACCTAAACATTCCTTTGCAGCTTTTGGTGATCCAGGTAAATTAATAATTAGCGTTTTATCTCTTATGCCGCATGTAGCTCTAAATGGCGCCCATTAGAAGATCATTAATAATAAATTATAATTATTTTAAAATACATTGCCGTGTTACTTGGAATTTCTAACGCAAAGTACCTAGATAGCACAGCCATTTCAGTAATTTTTAAGCTTGAAGTTAACATCGCGATAACCATACCAGGAGCTTCTTTTTCAATCACTTGTTTTGTTGATTCCGGAGTGACATCCCGCTTGGAAAATCCTGTACCGCCGACTGTAAGAATAACATCCACAAGCCTACTGTCGCTCCAAGTTATTAAATTTTCCTATACCCAACAAACATACAAAACATTAACGCTCTCTCATTAAAATATCATATATACTTACAACTAGATAATTTGTTACTGTAAACCAATACTTACCTTTATTCTATATTGATCATCGGGAACTATACTTTTATAGAATACTTTGCCCTTGAGAATTTGCCCGATTTCATTTTTATCATTATCAATGCAATCTTCTATTTCCGGTCCACTTTTATCCTCATTTTTATTCTTGGAGCAACTATCGCTAACTAAGAACAAAAATTATAATACAGTTTAACCAAAAATGAATAATAAAAAAAAATTATCAGAGATTTAAAATAATCATTGTTAGAATGACGAATGAATTTTACTGAATAATAATGATAATGATAAAGCGACTGATAATGAATAGGAATTGATTGTTTTTATTAAAAGCATATCGTTCAATATTTAATTAAAAGCGTTTAATACAAAGTACAACAGTTAAATTTTTACGTATTTGGTGTAAAAGAAGGAATACTTACCAATCAGTACTGCAAATCTTATTTTATCCATAATTTTATAAAAGTATTTTTACACAAGTATCAACGTAAGTAAGTACTGGTACTTATACAACTGATAACGATGGAATTAAGATAATATCAATTTTTGAAATTAGCACGTATTAAATTGTCTATAATTTCAACTGTTATATTATGATAATTAAATCGATTAACATGGAAATATAATGATACGATTTTATTACAACTACAAACTTAATACAAATATTTAATCAACGTCAAGTTGATCACTTTTCAAAGAGATCACAAGATTGTATTCTTCAATGTTGCCAAAGCTATATGTATATTACTATAATTCTATACCAACATAAACCACACTACTGTGTTAGAGACAGCACACAGCGACAGCACAGAGTCAGAGTCACCGAGTACTTACGTGTAACTAGATACGACGACGCGACACCGTCATTATTTATTGGGGGAACGAAATCTATTGCGCATGCGTGACTCGCCAGGGATGGCATCATCACGTTGCCGCGTTTTCACATTAAAAATCGCTTGAAATAAACGCGGGCTTTGTTCCTATGAAACGTAACGATTGGTACTGTTGCGTGACCACGCGAACGTAGCCCCAGAAATATAATAATCGATAGGTAAATTAGGAGCGAAATTCAAAAGCGGATGGTTATGCGTGATTGAGAGAATATTGTTAAGGATGCGCGATGCTGGTGGCACGCGTGGGAAAGATCTTGGGTAGAGCTCGAAAACAGGAAGAGGACACCAATTAGCAGACCCCGAAACGAATCGCGAGTTTCTTGTAAGTCACGTAACCTCTTGAAAAGGCCTTGTCCTTTTGTTAGTCTTAGGAGCGTCGATCGACTCCAGAAATGCTGGCGACGCTAAGGAAGTCATAAATTTCCTTCAAGGGTTGTTCCCTCGATCCTCGGAGCAGAGCCTAGGTACTTTCTCTTCCCACGTGGGCACCCCGCTGTGTAACGGAAAAGCGCGACTCCACCGAGTTCCCACCACCACCCGAAGACGGAGGGAAAGTTAGACGCCGATTCGCGGGGGCGTGCGTGCATCGGAAGGACGGCCTACCGCTTGGATCTGATGCGTCCTTCACCCTGATTGGACTACGAGGATCTATGGGAGGACTAGGAGGATTTGGCCAACGACTTCGGCGAGGACCTCGGAGGTGACTTCGAAACGCTACGATTTTTCTTATGTCATTGCGTCTCTAACCGGCCTTCGGACCAGTAGAATAAAGTACGAAGTTACCGAACGAAAGAGTTCTCTTGTCTAGTTTTATTATTAAATTCCCACACTCCGACAAGCAGAGCGGTTCTGCGCTCCACGGGCACCAACCCGCGTTCTTATCTCAAATTCCCCGCTAAAATACGCGACAGTACAGAACTGAACAATTTTAATCACGACATTTTTAATGTGCATGAACGATGGTGGATAATATTGTAACAGAATGCGTTTTTCTTTATTTATTATACAATTTTGAATGTATATGTGTAATGCTTGTAAACCTGGGCATGTGTTGCTGGATACCCATTTAATTGGCGTAGATATGTTATAAAATTAACTTTAGGTATAATCGCATGTTCTTGCTTGAATAAATTTGTCGTAGTATTGGATTTTCAAGCATAAATATATATGTAAATGATCTTATTGTACTTTTAAAAATCAGTAATTTAATTCGTTTCTACTTTGGGGGCGAAGTTTCTAGCAAGTACCAGGTTTCCCTTAGAGGTCCTTTGTTAACGAAACGCTAGGGACTTTCCTTTTGAGTGTTTTCTGTACAGCATTTAGTACATATATTGTACTTACATTGTACAGCGTCCTGCACGACATATGTATAGTATGACGTATGTGTATAAGAATTCAGTGCAAGGCCTAACACTTTATAGTTCAGTTGAGCCAACAAGTTGGTATGGTTGCTCGATCCGTTCTTAATGCGAGAGAGGGAATTAAAAGCAGAGTGAGTCGAGTGTTACATAGGAAGTCGCAGTGGTACGGTGCAACAGAAGGTGTGTTAGGATTGTAAACCTGTGAAGTTTTTCTATGATAAATTTACTTGCATATACGTCGCAGGAATTTTAATTAAACAAGGTAATGCCCATTTAATAGTTGGTTTACGGTTCAGAGTTCGCTTTTGGTTGTAAGTTTACATAAAAAAAAAAAATGGCATTTTATTAATAGCCAAAGTAGATTATTTTGGCCTACTTGGACGAAAAAATTCAAGATGGAAGGCACGACCATACACACACCCTTCGGTACAACCAATCAGCGTGCTAGTTTCAGCTCTTAAGGCTAATAACCTTTGACATCCATTATATTTATACAAAGGAGACAGTGTAACGTAAACACACTTACCTCTTGAGATAAAAAGAACACAATTACTTTGCGCCATGCAAAGTTATAAAATATGAAAAGTTGAATTTTTTAATGCCACTGATGTGTCAATGTTTTAAGTGTAACCTATTAATATACATAGAACGTATCTACATACTTACAAACATAGTATACCAAGTAATTTTTTAATAGAAATTATTTATGTAATTTTTTAAATGTTAAATACACACGTATATGATTATATGAAACGGAAGTTTTGCATGTTGTGATAAACATCTTGGAAATGCATTTCGAACGTCGTTTACACTTGTTTTCAAAACTCCATATGGAACGTCATAAAAATATATTGCCTGCATATTATTATGATACTTTTAATTTTCCTTTTGTGCATTCTTCATTTACATATTATGTTAATCAAGTGTTGCATCGAGATATTTTACGCAATAACGTTTCGTTCGTGTATTTCTTCTCTCTTCCTCGACGCAATTGGATCTTTTTTTTCTCACATTGAGAAAATGTATACATATTACGTACATACATCGAAAACAGCTTGAGTAACTTGGATATCTCGATAACCGAGATTGAGAAAAACAATTTTCATCATCATGTACGCGACTTTTAATCGAATGTTTTCTTTCTCGAATCTCTGCGTCGTTAAACACAACATTGGTGTTGATATTTTTGTTATTTCGTATGACCCACATACGTAAGTTATGTACGGTATAGTAAGGTATGTACATGTATAATTCGAATGAAAAGTTTGTTTCCGTATCATTTGGTAGATTTACAGGAATGTGCGTGATATTTTGCCACCATTAATTTACCTGAAATACGAAGAAATTATGTGACGCCTTTTTTAGAACATAAACAAATTAATGTAAAACATGCGTTTCTTTTCTAGATTCATATTTTATATGCACATTAGTTATTCTAATATGTGTGTACATACGCGGTTTATTAAAAACATCGGGTATGTTTTGATCATGAAAACATTTATTATTTTAATCGTGTCGTTGAACTAACCGATAGTGACGTGAAAGAAATTCAAGCGTATGTTCGTTACGTCAACTTATCTTTAAATTTTATAACGCTTGTCTTATCGTTTGCAGCGTACTTACGCGTAACATTTACTTCGATTAATTAGGTCTCGGGTATTTAACATAATTATCAGATGCAATTCAACAGTGATATATGTATACGTCTCGTGAACATGACGATAACACTTAATGTTTGTTACGTACATAATTGAATACTCGAGATCAAATAGGTAATTGTTCGTATGTATGATACTTATAGTATACATATGTATGTACATATGTATATCGAAAAGTAAGTAAAATATCAAAACCAACAGATTGTAGATTTAACGAAATTTTACTATTCTATTTCGGTACATCGTTAAATTATATGCTATTAGGTTCTTCCTCGTGTTAATTTCTAATTGGACAATTTCCGAAACTCTGTGTCATCTGAACCTACATAGGTACTTACGTAGTATGTATACGAGAGAGCTGGAGAGAGAATAATCCCTGAATGGAATACAGATTCAGTGATATGAAGACCTCGACAATTCCGACAAAGGAAACAGTTCCGAGAATTGAGAAATAAGTAAACATAAGCTTGTCCTCGGTGTCGAAACAGCTGAAGATCGTATTGCTGGTACTTAAACGACGGACAGCAGCCATAAATCGAAAGTCTCGGAACACGGAAGAGAAATTGTTTATTTATTTCCATGGCCTATGCCCTAAGCCTTAATAACGTTGAATTTGGCACAGAAATAGGTAGAATCGACGTTGTTTAACACGTCAAGTGTCACTAACACTAACTATATTGCTTTGTGTAAAACTTTCATACGGTTTTTCTACCGACATTGTCACTGTTACGGGTAAAGTAAAAATTGTTTCAACTGCACCGCGATACGAACTATAAAGACAACCGGCCGAAGAAAACCGTTTCTGAAAGAATAGTTTACAAATTGCAATAAGTTACGTACAAATAAGATATACGTATGAAGATACACGTGTAATCTTATCGCAACCTTAAATACATATTCGATACATATGTATGTATAGAGGGTGGTCGGCCGCCACCTCTGGGAAAAATTTTAATGGGAGATTTTAGTGGGTAAAATAAGACGAAAATCAAGAATACTAATTTATTGACGGAGGCTTCGTTAAAAAGTTATTAACGTTCAAGGTTCCGCGCGTACTGAATTCTTTTCTAGAAAGTGGGTTGGATTTCAGGGGTATGCGTATTCACCAAAAATGATTCTAATCGAGCCCCGCTCGATATTCCTCGTTTCGTCTTATTCTGGTCGCTAGAATCTCCCATTAAAATTTTCTCCCAGGCCTCGCGGCCGAACCCCCCCCCCTAAATATTTCCGGTCGCTAGCATATCGGTGATATCGGATACCGCGGCTTAAACGATAAAAAGAAAAAAAAATAAGCTTGGCGTTTAACGTGGTTAAAGGGAACCTATTATTAGACCGCGGATGTATTGCATTTACGACATATGTTAATATGTATGTAGAATATACATTGATATATTAGCATTTTGTATAAATACATACATACGTGTATGTATATCATTTGGGTACGTTTAGTGTATGTTTTTTGTATTCGTGGTTTATGTTGGTCGAGTCTTTGGAACAATTGCGAATTACAATATGTATGTATGTACCCTGAACAAACTATTATAAAATCTATTTTCTGCCAACGGATACTTCCAACGTTGCAATCGGTTGTGTATTAGAGCAGAAAGGGTTACATAGGAAACGAGAAAACCGGTTGCGTTCGCCCGGTGAAGCTTCTATTATCGCGGAAAATAAATAGCTAACAATTATTTGGTGCGCTAAAAACTTGAGGCATATAATAAGAATGAGAATATAGATAGATTAGGAAAGGTTGAGGCTTCGTTGAATGTTCGTTTCGAAGGGTACTGTTAGCGTATGCGCATTATTTATGAATAACGATCAAATGATAATTACTTGCCAAAGAAGACGGTTACGCGACAATCTCATTATGATACGATTCAATCTAATGCAGTTAATAAGCAAGAGCATTCGAGGCATAAATCTGTCACAAACTGAATAAAATATGTACATTTATAAATGAAATCGTATACCCGACACCGGTGATCGCGGTCACCACCGGTGTTACGCGATCTAATGCCATTAGAAACAATTTCATAATTGAATTATCGGATGCAAACAAAGAAAGAATATGAAATATGTGTATCTCGTAAAATGCAACAACGTTTACAACTGGCCGCCGTACCTTAATATATTTAATAGATGAGCAAAAAAAACTCTATAAATTTATTGTAACCGAGCCAAAGCTTCTCCCAATTTCTACTTTCGAAAAATAAATTCAAAAATCTCTAAAATCTAGAGCGAAGATACGTAATTCATTGTGTATTCTTCGTTTGTATTTAATTAATAAAATAATTCGATTCTTACGAGGTCTCGTAGTTTCTGAATTTTTTTTCTCTTTTTAAGACCATTATCGATTACGCAGTTTGCGTATACGTATACAAATAAATATCTATTGTAATACAATAACATCGCATGTGCGTGCTACATTACTAGAAATCGTGAGAGTGAAATTTTAAATTAAAAGTAACATTACATAGTCCACCAGTTGACCTTACTTAAAGAGTTGCACGTGCAACGTGCACACATCCATGGGTGAATGGTTCCCGTTGCAGTATCGTTACAGTAGGATGCATATTGAAGAAATACCCATGTTTCAGATAATAAGGGAAAAGTAATTTAAACGTAAGAATTTGCGACAGGAAACATGGAATCGTGTTCACGCAATTATAGGAAACAAAGTAGACGCTGCAAAAGAAAGGTTTTTAGATATGTATCCTGATTAGAAAAAATTAAAAATTAAGTAGACATCAACCATGAAATGTTGATTATTTATTACCTATAATATAATGCGATCTATCGAGGATGTAGTCGTTCGATATTTTTCTCCGTTAGTTGTGTCGAGTTAATTCTCTATACATACATATATTGTTGTTATTTATTAAGTTTCGAACGATACTGTCTCCGACCGGCAAGCATGATGTCACGATGGACTTGGAATCTACAGCAAGATTGAGTAATTGTTAGCTAAAATTATTGCCGTTTTTTTCCAGCCAGGCGCATACCGTGCAAAGTCCAAGGTTATATAAGACAAGCGTTCAAGCAGTATGTAATTCAGTCCTGTCCACGGATGAGGAGAGGCCGGCCCCCCTTACGCGGTTTGTGTCCCCCCTTACGCGTCCTATTATATCGCGGTATGCTTCTATCATGTAGGTATGTATGTACCTACTACGTGCACACGATGCACGTATAATGCAACATCGAGCAAAGTTCCATACCGACAACCAGAAAACAGCTGTTTGACACGATTGTGTTCTGATCCGGTCACAGCCATCCTGATCCCGACTCCCATTTCTCTGGACTTTTATTTTTATTCAAACAATAGATAGATCAGGTACTTACCCAAGTAGCCTATCGCGTTCAAAAACAATACAACTACGCACTACATTGTACATATTGCCTTCCACAGGGTTGTAAATTTCTTTCAAGGTCCCATGGTACCACCTGTACCATTACCATTCTGCGTATTGCATTAATTTAACAGAAAATTACGTGCGCTTTATCCGATTCTAACAAGTTGAATTTCTCAAATTTCAGATTCGTATTTAAGAAACAAATGATATGGCGGAAGCTCACGCGGCTGTAGCATTTAGTTTTTCTATTACTCACGAAGGATGGGATGTTAATTTTGATAGAGAAGTTTTACACTTGGTGTGGGCGTCGGGTATCCGCTCTTGGAAAAAGAGGTTCTTCAGATTTCTTGTAAGTAAATCCATTGGACGAAATTTCCGCGAACGAATCTCTAAAAAGATTATTTACATATTTCAGAACAACTTGAGAAGCGGAGTGTATCCTGCTTCTTTGCAAAGCTTATGGCTTACCATAGCTGTGGTAACTGCAATCCATTTCGCAGGATACAAGGTACCTTACGACCTTGTCGGTAAAACCGCGCCATACCTTTCAGGGTAAAATTAAGTTCATTTCTGTGATCGGTAAACTTCTGGACGAGGATCATACACATTATTATTGATCATATCCTGTTGTTTTTCTCTATCGCAAGGTCTTGGATACTGGCACACTTGGCAGGATCGTTTGTAGTTGGACTTGTTTTATGGATGGTTGTGATATATGCGATTCGATACACGTTAAAATTATTACTTATATACAAAGGATGGATGTACGAATCAAGAGAAAAAGGATCTACCGTTTCGAGGGGCACGCGAATTTGGACTTGGTTGGTGAAGTTGCTCCTTGGATGGCATAAACCGATGCTGTACAGCTTTCAAGGATCTTTACCGCGGCTACCGTTACCATCTGTAAAAGACACTATGGCGCGGGTAAGATTAACCAAACTCGTCATCATTTTCTATCGGTCAGTTTTCATTTATGTAATACGAATGCTACCAGTTCCGTCCATCCTCTGCGATACTAAAACACATTACATACGCTTAGTTTGGTAAACGCTAATTCATTTCACGCATTTCAATAGTATTTACGAAGCGTGCGGCCATTGCTGGACGATGAAAATTATACTCGTATGGAGGCATTGGCCAATGAATTTCAAAATGGAATCAGCGTAAAACTTCAGCGTTATCTAATTTTGAAGTCCTGGTGGGCCACTAATTATGTTTCCGATTGGTGGGAAGAGTACGTTTATTTGCGCGGCCGATCCCCCATCATGGTGAATTCAAACTTTTACGCCATCGACGCTATTCTCATGCATCCTACTACCGTACAAGCTGCCCGTGCTGCAAGCGTTATTTATTCATGTTTGCAATACAGACGCCTGATCGAGCGACAAGAATTAGAACCGGTCGGTGAATAATTTCCTTTCCGCTCTGTCGAATAGTTTCATTTTACGATTTCCAATAAACAGACGGTATTGTTTTCGTATTTAGATTCTGATTCAAGGCCTAGTACCATTATGCTCCTGGCAATACGAAAGAGTGTTTAATACTACGAGAGTACCGGGACGCGAGACGGATAAAATTGTGCATTACCAGGATTCGAAACACGTGGTTGTCTACCACAAGGGCAGATACTTTAAAGTTCTTATTTATCACAAAAACAGAATTCTTCAACCCTGTGAAATCCAAGTGTATGTTGAATACATATACATATTGAGACCTTTCGTTAAAGATTTGTTCCCAATTATGCGTATAACGAGTCGTGTATGATTACAGTCAAATGCAGCAAATTTTAGACGATAAATCGGAACCGTCGGACGGCGAAGTAAAGTTAGCTGCATTAACAGCCGGTGAAAGAACAGCATGGGCGAATGCAAGGGAAACGTATTTTGCGAAAGGAGTAAATAAGGCGTCCTTAGATCTTATTGAAAGAGCAGCATTCGTAGTTGTGTTGGACGATATACCATACATATACGATCCGGTAAAGCAATATATTGTACAAGTCACGGTAAATTCTATTCGCGAATTCTCAATAGATTCGTAACGTTTTATATGTATACGTATTATTAGGATGATCCCGAGAAATTAGATCAGTACGGTCGAATTCTATTACACGGTAAAGGATACGACAGATGGTTTGACAAATCTTTTACTTTGTGTATTGGCAGCAATGGCAGAGTAAGTAAAATACCGTTCTAAATATTAATTTATAACAGAATCTGGTATACGAATCGTAAATATTTCATTATATTTCACAGACCGGTTTTAATGCTGAACACTCTTGGTAAGTTTTTTTTACAAATTAAAGTATTAAAAGTCATAAGATGACATTAAGTAATTTATAAGTACATATAAGACAAGAATATGGTTAATATCGTATTCGATATAGTTTGCAACTTGCATCGTAAAATTTGAATAATTATACATACTCCTAACAAATAAAACTACCATATACATACATATTTTTTGTACAGTTTTCTATGCAAAGATATATGTATAAATTCGTTGATCGTGTTAACGTGACAGTATCATTCTATTCGTTTAAATTTAATTGTGTGTCGGAGCAAGTATACATACAGTATGTACATATATCACGAACAAAAATACTATAAATTCGAAATAGATTACGTTAAAATCAATATTATAATGAGAAGTAATGAGTAGGGCAGATGCTGCGGTGATGTCACATTTGTGGGAGTACGTGATGGCTGAGGAAATCGTCGATAGAGAGTAAGAATCCAAGTTCACAGTTTCGGGTGTATTAAATTTCATTCGTTACTGAATTTTCTACTTCTTTTATCTCATTCATCTACTTTTACAAGGCGTAGTGAAAAAATAGGATCGAAAACACGATATAACTTTTATACATACACGACTAACCGCTTGATGACGGCGCGGCGGTCAAACGAGAAAAACTCAACTTGCGTACAGTTATGTGAATTTACTTCGGTTATTAATAGAACAGTAAATATAAAATAAAACTCGAAATCATCGTCAATTTGAATCATCTACGTAAATTCTGCCGTCTATTTGTTTTATCGGTACCTCGATTATTGGTGATTTTAATAATTGATTGAATTCACGTAATTTCATTTTCATAATAACAGTTTAATGAATTTTATTTATAATATGCTTATTAGGGCTGATGCTCCTATTATGGGATCTCTGTGGGAATATGTTATCGCTAATGAGGTGAACATGGGGTAATTGTCTCTCATATTTCTTATTTTTTAATAACATAATCTTTATCTTATAATGTTTCTAATTGTAAACTACTAATTTGAGCATTATGAATTCCAAGTTTTACTATACCTCTGATTTAACTTGCGCCCATTGTATTTTTTACTAATTAATTTTTCACTAATTTTTCACTAATTTTTCACTAATTTTTCACTAATTTTTCACTAAGACTTACGGGGACGAAATCCGACTGCATTATTCGAAATGTAGCGTGTTCAAGACAGTGTATTCATTTTTTCACTGACGACAACAAACAACGGTGTACGTATGTACATATTTATTTTAATGCGGTCGGATCTGTTTTCCTTGGGCGCACAGATACATTTAAATTCGTCAAAATTTAGTCATCTACATACATACGCATGCATATACATACAGTGATACTACGTACGATGCGGTATTATCGTGTCTCGTACTTTAACGATCTTGCTGGAATCCTATTACAGATTTACGAAAGATGGGCATACCAAAGGTGCACCAGAGTTCACGCCTCCGCCTCCTACTCGACTCCAATGGGATTTAGATGTAAACTGCATATCTGCTATTCAACAGTCATATCAAGTAATGTATAATAAATTAATAATATTTCCAAGATACGTTTGGAAACATTACAAACGTTCAAGTATTATTTACTTTATGTATTTGTAACATGCAGAAAGTTTTGTTAAGAAAGAAACAAAAACAAAAAACTCTTCGTTATTAGGTTGCACAGACGTTATTAAACGACGTCGAATTACGCATTTATGTACACGATGCGTATGGTAAAGGCTTCATGAAAACCAATTCCATGTCACCCGATGCATATATACAATTAGCTCTTCAGTTGGCCTATCACCGTGATTCTAATAAATTTAATTTAACGTACGAAGCTTCCATGACTAGATTGTTCCGCGAAGGAAGAACGGAAACAGTGAGACCATGTACAATCGAGTCTACAGCGTGGGTGAAAGCAATGGAAGACAAGGAAGCGACTGTGAGTGATCAAAGACGAATACATGATTTTGTTCATTTTAAACATTTTACGATACCTTATTGAAAATTCGTTCGATCGCGCCACCGTTCTCTCTGATCTATGTTACATCTGGAAACCTTTATTGTCATTGTGCAGGTGGATCACAAGTACAAATTATTGTTGGCTGCAGCAAAGCAACATCAAAAAGCTTATCAAGACGCTATGTGCGGTAAAGGAATAGATAGGCACCTGTTCTGTTTGTATGTAGTATCAAAATATTTAGAAGTCGATTCTCCCTTTTTAAAGGTGATGTTCTTTCTCTACATACTACTTTTCTAATTTGCTCGTAAAGCGTTGTTAAGAATGTTTCCTTCCAGGAAGTTTTAAGCGAGCCGTGGAAATTGTCTACTTCGCAAACCCCACACGGTCAAACCTCGTTAATAGATTTGAAAAAACATCCAAATTGTATTTCCGCGGGAGGCGGTTTTGGCCCTGTTGCCGATGATGGTTATGGCGTTTCTTACATCATTGCTGGAGAAAATCTACTATTTTTCCATATTTCGTGCAAACGTACCTCTCCCGAAACGGTAAGGACAATTATTTTCACGCGACTATCGCCGCTATCTACATACAAGTTTCTTCGCGACTAAAATTACTTGGAATGTAACTGTGTTTCTGGTTACTTTTAGAATGCCGCCAGATTTGCTAATCGAATAGAAAAGGCATTGGCAGACTTGAAGCTTTTGTTCCTGGAAAGAAAGAAACTTCAAGCTCAAAAGAACGGAGCTATGTAATTACAGTGTAAGAAGGAAAAATACATTCATTATGTATTAGCGGAAATTTCGTAATACGGAATACTTTTTTTTTTTTTTTTTTTTCCAAGTGTTCGTAAAAGATCGTATATTCGATCAGTATTATTAAAAAATTTCGTTATTTCTATGCTTGCCTAAACAAGTTCTCGACACGATAGTTTTAAACAATATCAACGAAAGGAACCAAGTACAATTCATCCGACATATAAACCGAGCTTTTTTCATCGATTTACTTGTAATATTTAAGCAATTTTATTAACGAAAAATTTCTATTTTATATCCTTTAGTACTGTACATTGAATGGTAAAGCGCACAAAATCTAGCTATAGTCATTTTTATATAGATATTTGTTCGAGAGATTTTTAAACGAAAATACGTCAATTATAGCAATCGATAAGATTTAATCGTTCGAAATTTTAAGAAATGGTGTTAACACTTGAATACTTTTGCTCTTGGATACTTTCTTTCTAAATGATGGACGAGTTTAAGGGAAAAATAAACAAAAGTATGTAGAAGACTGTGCCTCGCAATAAAAGTGTAAAGCGGAATTTTAATTAGACCGTTGACTGGACAATAGAATCATATTCTATATTTTATTGCAGATGATAGCCTAAATGTATGTTCGTTACAGTATCGGGCTTAAGTATTCAAAGTAAAGATAAATAACGTGTTATAGTTGATCTTTTTATATGAAGTATACATATATGAAAATAAGCAATTGAATATTGTTAACTTTACATTAATGTTAAGGATAACATTCACTACTATATTTTGTTACCCCCGATACTATACTTACAGAATGGTTGATAATATAACAACTTCAATGCAATTATATAACATTACATTGTTAGAATTATCGAATTAGTTAGCAATACAATTCGCGATACATTGTGTAATATTAGATAAATACAAAATGAACTTTGCGTGAATCTCAACAAAAGCAAGCCAACTATTTTAATTAAATGTGAAAATTTTTACAAGTTATTCATGACCTTAGAAATTGTATATAGCGACGGCGCATCAGTTTTAATTAGTATAAAAATATGTGAAATAATACGCCATAAATTAATATCTGCAACCTATCAATGCAAAGTTTTAATATTATAAATAGTTTTATATGTATACTGTATTAATCTTTTTACTATATCTTTGTTAAAATTATATTTTCAGGTATTGGTGCTTTTAATGTTTTAATAATGGTATTTTACAATTTTAAGATTATACTATGTATATTTATCTACTCGATGTAAAAGAAAATAGAAGAAAAATGAATAAACAATAATATGGAACAGTTATACATACATATAGTATGTATATTGCAGTACATATATCGATCGACAAAAATCCTCGTAGAATTACTAATGCGTAATACGAAATATATTATCATATTTCAAGAAGAAATATTTGCAGTATATTTTTTTTTTTTAAATGAAAAATGTCGAATAACAACGAATTCGAATTGATCGTTGAAATAACGGTAATTGGATCTTTTATTCTATACATATGTATAACGTACAAGATACATATGTAGTTTCCTTCTTCGTTTAAGTTTCGAAATGTTTGCAACGTATAGGGTAAATGTTCTTCATCTTTCTGTACCGCTGAAATAAAAATGTTTGTAAATTGAGGATTTCTATGTAACGGTATAATATTTGTCAAACGATGCTAATACAATTTTGACGAAGTCGAGTTGCACGTCTTATTTAATAACGTAAATAATGCTTACCGAACAGTTTCCTTATAACTTGATCATTAATGTGCGTCATACAAAATATATTGTATATTATAGAAGAACGTCCCATCTAATAATAAAACTAATTAAAAAAACACCGATCGAGCATATTACCAGATTTATAGTCCAGAAATAGGATCAGATTTTAGAACACGTCCTTGTTTCAGTTCCCTCTTATTTTCGACGGCGTAGTCAATCTAGCTTAATTTTCATTCAATGACCGTTATGTGCACGTGAGTTTTTGTTTATAGAAATAAAAAAAAAATCACAGGTAGAAATTAACAATCGTTAGAAAAAGAAACGTTACACGAATAAAAAGAGAAAAAACGTGAATATTTCTTTGTAAAATCATTTCAACAAAATTATTGGCCAAGCTATTTTATCGATAGATGAACAGGGGTACGGGTACGGGTACGGGTACGGGTACGGGTACGGGTACGGGTACGGGTACGGGTACAGAAATATGTCTAGAAACAAAAATATCTGAAAGGAATGTTTATTTTAAACGAACGAAATAAAAACTAGAGTGTTTACTGGTATCGTTGGTAAAGGGATAATTGGCTTTGTTTGGGACACAGACATGGGTAGGTTCTACAAATATTTCAAATTTTAAGTATAAAACAGTTTGGGACGTAGGCGACATCTATGAAAGAGATAGGTGTTCGTAAAAGCATTTAGATCGCGTGAAAAGTTTGCAAGTTCGTTTATTTAGAATAAGATAATAGCCGGTAGGAAAAGTTTTTTTAGTAATCGGTATAGTGGCGCATCTATTTTAGCTGTCGGACTCGTGGCTACGGTTAAGCTTACGCGCCGCAAATTAGTGACACGAGCGTGACGAACGCGGAGTGATTGCGTACTGAAAATAAACAGAGAGTAGTGGAGTGGTGACAGCAGCGCGGGTCGAATGATGTCTTCGCCGAGTAAAAAGCCCAAAGAATTGGAGGATCCAGGTTCCGGCGAAGGCGTTGAGTCGCGAGATTATGACATTGAAATACAAAAGACACTCGAGGAGATTGACGGGTGTCAGAATCAAATCGATGGCCTCAATGAGAAAGCCAGCGATGAAATTCTCGAGGTTGAGAAGAAGTATAATAAGTTGCGTAAGCCCTACTTCCAGAAACGGAATGACATTATCAAGAGGATACCCAATTTTTGGGTCACTGCAGTATCCTTTCACACGATGACATTACATCCTGCTCGATAATAATTACTAATGTATCTTTGACGTTTCTTGGCAATACCGGCGTCCACCGGCGCTAGTCGCCATCTTGCCTACTTGTATACGTACGAAAATACGTATAACTACATGCGGTCACGCTGAATATGATACACATTTATTTTTATGGGAATTGTTTCTTAAAATTATTCCAGCCATAATGAAATACGTCAGTTTGTTATTACGTACGATCCGTTCTTATTTTCTTTCGCATGCTTGCACCAATAACAAATGTGTTTTTCCTTCTCGTAATAATTTTTTATCTCTGTTTAAAATTTAACGTCGAACCGTACTCCCTTAACTTACATTTTATTGTGTTTTCGGTTAATTCTTCGTTTATTATGTGTATGCTGGGGTACAATATAACGTTACCATAAATTATTAGGTCATGTTCCAAAGCGACGCATCTACGCCGAATGCATATAAAACACAAACGAGCAATTTTTTCATTAACAATCGACAGAGTACAAAGTTTTCCTATTCCGTTTTCTATAATTTTATAAGTTTTTTTTTTTTTTTTTTTGTTTTTTCTTTTTTTTTTATCAGATCCAGTTAGTTGTACTTGTTTGGGACAAAACACCGTTCTATATGACCAAACTTTATATTTTTTCCTTCGATGTTGATATTAAATATTCAAAGTCACTTAACGGTAAGACACATTTCTTTTCATAGAAATTATTCCAACATTTGTTCCTATTGTGCTTTCAGTTACCGGTTCCTTTACTATGTATGTACCGATAATGCGTATCTTTTAATATTACTAATATTAAAACATTTAAAATCCATTGTTCGTTATATTAAAAATGTAGTATATATTTATAATTATAAGAGTGATCGTCGAAACAGGGAGACCTAAATTATCTTGGAAATATCACTGTATTTTGGTAAAAGTCCACAAGTTGTTTCCAAATAGTGTTAAACCCTATGTAAATTTCCTTATTACGTACACAGTTTGTAAACAACAAAGAAATAGCAGAGATATTAGAAGAAGATGAAGAAGATGCTCTTCGATTTTTAAACAAATTAGAAGTTGAAGAATTTGAAGATATTAAATCTGGTTATAGAATCAATTTTCACTTTGATGAGAATCCATATTTTGAGAACGATGTTCTTACCAAGGAATTTCATCTAGGTTCTTCTGGTGAGCACATTTCTAAATTTAAATATTGTCCCTAATTATGGTTTTATTAAATATAGACCAAGTATCGTTCATTTACCGTTTTAATCGTTATGCCTAAAAAATTTTCTTGTTTTTAATATTCCCAACAAATCTATCTGTTTAAATGAATTTGTAAATAACGATTGGAAAATTGGCGAATATGGCCAACATCGAAAAATGATACGTTTAAAATTATTTCACTTGAAATGAAATGAAATTTAGTTGGCGAATTTGCCCATTGAACTTCTCGTTTGATTCGGCTGTTAAAATCTACTTTGATCTTGTTTGGTCGTAGTTGTGGTTTTATTTCGTAATTGATTTGAAATTTGAAAAATCGACGAAAATATTGTTTGAAAATTGTCTGTTTAAATTGAAATTTGAAATGGAAAATCAATTTTCGATGCTACTCATATTAGCTATGTATACATATGTATTTAGGTGAATATTAAGACTATTATCGAATAATCATAGTTTTAATGTATCTCCTGCTTTTTTGCAGGAGATCCAGCATCTCAAAGTACATCTATTCGTTGGAAAGAGGGTGCAGATTTAACAAAAAGAGCAAAAACCAAAGCCCCGCTAAAAGGACGCAAAAGGCCGTTGAAGCACAGATCATTTTTCGATTGGTTCACGGACCATGGAGATCCAAGTTCAGACGAAATAGCAGAATTAATTAAAGACGATATGTGGCCTAATCCATTGCAGGTAAAAATTCTTTTCTTTCTACCGTGATAAAAGTAAATGTTGAAATCGAGACAATAAATATTTAATATAACGTAATTATATCGTTTCCAGTATTATTTGGCACCGGACATGGACGTCGAAAACGGTATCGAGGGAGACGGCGAAGATTGCGACACGGAAGAAGAAGAGGACGAAGAGGAAGATGGTGGTGCGGACGATGGGGACGAAGCAGGAGAGGGTGAGGAAGGGGACGATAGTATAGTTGTGGTCGAAGACGATGTGGATGAAGACGAAGATGAAGAAGAGGCTGTGAATGACGAAGATGATGGAGTAAACGAAGAGGATGATTTGTTAGTCGACGATGAAGTGGATCGTGAAGGTAAAAATATTTCTTTTCGACGGTTTATTTTGCATCAAGAACCGATTTATTTGATATATGTGTATAATTTTATAATTGTTGTATTGCAGATGGTGACGGAGAAGACCCGGAATAGAATTAAAAGTTGATTTTTCACAACATAGACATTGAAAAGAAAAAGAATCACTGAAAATACACATCAGATTGGTTGAAAATAGATGATGTTTGCAGGACTGAAAATATTGAGCCATATGAATAAACCTCGGGATAAGTTTTGGCAACTGAATTTAACAGGCTTCTTTTGGCTGTTGAAAAAGGATACTAACCGTGTGTGTATAAATATAGAAATATTTATTCGATCGTGCTGAAAGTAACGAAGGAAACAACGGCAGTCCGAGTCAAGTTAGATAGGTTTTACTTTGCACTTTATTCGAAAATAGTGCCAGAATGCAGTACGAATTCCCTTAGTTGTATTCATATGGCCTAGTCATTCTCTATTATAGTGGGCATACGATGAGAAACACCTGTTGAGCTTGATCATGTTATGAGTATATTAAGAAGAAAAGAAATTATAAAATATGACGAGATAGAGGACAGGTGTTTTTTTTCGTCTTGTTTTATCATAAAAATCTATTCCATCGCATTTCTTCCAGAACGAGGTGTTTTAGATATTTTTCAGAGTGACAATACCCCATAGTTATATGTCGAGATTTACAGCATTTCATTTTTCTCATTGAGAGATCTGTTATATGTTTTATTGATGGATCACAGCCTTGAATAATTGCAGTCGCAGTCTGTTTAATACTACCAAAATGTAAAGATAATTTTCTGAATTTTGTATGTTCTTGATAAGTTTGGATATTTTTAACAAACAACCGACAACATATCGCTAAGAATTATAATTGTGTATCAATGTAACAGTGTATTTATACAGATGAGTGATATCTATACGAAAGTATAAAACCTAAATACAATTCATGATTTTATTTTTAGTACTTTTTATTATTATTATTATTATTATTATTATTATTACGTTTTTGTCGCTGACACGCTGTGACGTCGTAAATTTACTCTTTTGACGAGTGTACAAAGGTTTTGATAAACCCACCGGTTTTCGTTACATATTTATTTCCGCTATAACGATGTTTTAACGTTAATAAAAATGAATGATATTGTAGCTATCTGTGTATGTATCAGGTTCAACACTATCGATTGCGTATTTGCAAGTGTTTTTCTATACGGTGCAGGTAAATGATAAAAAATGTATTCTTTTTAACTTCTTCTTTTTTTTAAACATTGTACGCCACCAGTGTGGCAATGCGTACAACATAATGATTAAAAGAATTTAATTTTAATTGAAATTTGGTGCATGTGAATCGGTGGTTGATGGAAAAATAACCGTTCACCGTGTTTGTTTATAGCGATTCGAAAAGTTGGCTTTCCAGTGAAACATTCTCGACATCTTGCTTGAACTTTGAATCGAAATTTGTCACGTCGGCTATCAGTTAACGGAAATTCACCTCGTTCTATTCTTCCAGACTTTACATAATAAAACTTGTCAGTTTCGCGAGAAAAAGTAAAAATATATCGCAAGCGTTTTTCACAGGCGCGTAGTTCGACACGCGCTTCTAATTCTAAGGGCACCTTTTCACATTACTGTTAGAATCGAAAGGTGAACGTTAGAATGAGGAGTACATAATCACAACCCCCCTGTTATATATCCCGCGGTGTGCCAACAAACAAACTAAAAGAACGAAGAACACATTGCGATTGATTTTTAGACTTCGGTGCGAATAAATGGTTCTATTAAATGGTGGTTTGATCAGCGTTTACTCTCAAGTCTAGGAAAAATCAAATAATTACGCCGCTCAAAATAGATACGCTATTATATCTGATTTAATTACTCAAAAATTATCCAAGGAACATGTTTTTAAATAAAACTTGTTTATTAATAGGTCTTGGATAAACCAGTTGCGAATCAAGAGACGATCTTTCGATTAACATGAAATTATTATGATATTAAAAATAAAAATCTCTTAGAATAAGATTCCTATTTTTCTACTGAATGTTTAACATTAGCAAAGTAAGCAATTATTTGATTCCTCCTAGAAAGCGACAAGGTACGCTTTTCTACGACGTAATTGTCCTCTCAATAAATTAAACGACTACTGTCTTGAAATAATCAGCGTTAAACGATGATAACGCGTTCAAGCAATGTATGTGTATTCATGATGGCGTCGAGTTGGCACATGGTCGCACAAAGGATACCTGTGTCCCGGGATCAGCGAATAGACACGGAACAAGCGCATAACATTTTTCAAATCGATCGACGTATTCGTTATGCGATCATACAGCAAACGAACGAAACAAAGTTGTCACTTTGATATAGGAATGAGTTTTTATATTTGAAACTACTCATAAATAGAAATACGCGAACTTGAGACATTTTAATACAAGGATCGATCAAACATTTTACTCCGACATATATATATATATATATATATATATATATATATATATATATAGTATATATAGTATATGTATATATTTTTTTTTTTTTTGTACAACGTTACTTGGAATTAATTGAAAATTGTTGTATCGTCGATTTTTTTCGTAATGTCCTCTCACGAATTACTTTCCTATAATTTGTTGTATAACTCCCCACTTGTCGATAAAGATTGCTTTCTGGAGACACTGTCTTTCTTTTGACATCAACCTGAATCGTGATCCTCGAATTGTCCTTTGAAAGAAAACCGAGTGCTCGAGGTTTCGGTGTGCATTGTTGTTTGTAGAAACGAGTTGACGATTTCTATGTGTTTTACGAAATAGTGCTTCATTTGTCATTACATTTTTTGCCAACACTACAGAAGATTGAAAAAAAAACAAAAAAGAGAAAAAGAAATGAGAAATTAATATGACCAAGGAATAAAATTAAACGAAGAAACGATCATAAAATATAACGAATATATGTAAGTGGTAAATATAAGATTTTAATATTTAAGATTTTATTGTTCATAATATTAATAAGATGTACAAGATTTGTGCAAGAATTTTACAGATATATGTAGTGGTTCCTAGCGATGTAAAGTAAATCAGGAATGTGAAAGAAAACGACGATTATCCGAACCAATTTCAGTGAGAAAAGTCTTGAAACAGAGAACAATACATTTTCATGAAATGTATGTATGTATGTATGTATGTATGTACATATTACTATTTGAAGAGTATATTTCGCTTTGTGAGCCAAGTAGTGTTGTCATATTGATCATTAAATTGTACATTTAGTTTTATCAAGTATAGTAATCTTTTATGTAGCAGGTATAGTTGAAAAGATTTCATCGGTTAATATCTACATACAAGTAAAATAAATATTTATATGAAACAAATTGATGTAGTAAGTAAAAGAAAAAGTTCAAAGATCTTTAGAAGCTATTATGTTTTCTGCACACATGATTTCGGATCGAATATGTTTATTGGTTAAACTTGTTTTGCTTCGAAAATAGGAATTGGAAAACACTAGATATAGTTTGTCAAATTGTTTTATTTTTTTTTTCTACTTATTTAACTAATTCTTACATTTTTAGAGACATTAAATACATAATAAAATAGTTTCGTTCATGTTTTAAATATGCAGTAAATTAAGTAAGTGGTGTTAGATTTAGTTAGCATTAGCATCATTTATCCTTGTTTGGATAATCGACGTTTATTTTCATTTTATAGAAATACAATTTTTAGTTAGATTTACCAATTATTTAAGTTACTGTTTCTTAGACAAATATTAAATTTAATTGTATCGAAATATGTACGTTTTGGTAAGAACAGTCGACTTTCGTTTTAATGTTTTCCCAGTAGTTATTTCGTAAAGAAAAAACACGAAGAAAAAAAAAGAAAAAAGTATAAAAACCCAAGGAATTATATTTTACGATAAGTAATAATTGTAGGCGTCAGTGCTTGTAGTAACTTTCTACAGTAGGTTCTACTTACTATTATTCAATTAAATTGTATATATAGAATAGTATTTTATTATCTATTAAATTATTGATTTAAAAGTAAATATTAATAAATTATTTCTTTCGCACGATTACATATATCGAAACGATTAAGGTTATACTATGTATAAGATTTTACGATCAACGATCTAGTTTTTATGTACGAATATAAAACAACACGTCTATGAAAACATCGAATGGTACTTTGCTGAAATGTAAGTATGTACATACTTTGATCGAATGGATGAACTTCCGATTGTTCGTTACGAGGGTTCCCACGATTTTTCAGCTCGAAAAATTATTTTGCAAAAAGTTGAAATCACTTTGTGGATTTAAAATAAAAGAATGTACAAAAATCCTCGTTAAAAGTCTGAAATTTTCGTTAACGGGGTTACACGAACATCAAATAATGTACAATATATTTGTGTGTCTTTCAGGGTCTTGTAATCCTGCACTACATTGGGATATTCTATGTTGTTCGTCGATCGGAATTCTTTTTGTGATCAGAATCTAGTCTGCATTACGAAATCATTGTGAAATAAATCACTGTTTATGTATTTGTTTGTCGAAGAGAGTTCGGTTGCATTGTCGAGGGTGAATGTGCGCGTCTGGGAGGGCTGTGTAAGATATCTAACGAAACTTCTTACCTTCCTCGTTATTATATCATCGTTACGTGTTGTTTGTCCAAAGTTGTCGGTTCCCTGCTACGATACAAGCAGACCGTACACATGCTGGCATCCGAGGAGGACGCAAAAAAAGACGTTTCAGGTTCGACGAGGATGCGTAAGCGTGCAGACGGCCGACGTGGATGGCGAAATATTCGACTTTTTCACAACAGAAGACACTGTGACTCGGGTGTTGGACGATCGCCACGGTGTTGCGCGTGTCACGGTCATCGCAACCCCGTTAACCGACGACGGTTCTCGGTCGACCGGTTGCTTTTCGCGGTGAAAGCTTTCCCACTGGCTCTCCGATCGAATTTCCTCGACAATGGTTTCCCAATTTTTCTCTCGATAATAATTGTATCGCTCGTTGAAAAAACGGCCCACGTTACCGACGTTTCGACTTGGTCTTACCTTGAAACAGGTGGTCGGTACAATGCGCGATTCGTACCTACTTAACCTCTTCACGTAAGTAAGTACCTCTTCGATGTAATTTTTCAAACGAATACCATTTGATTTCGTTTAAATTTACTCGTACAAGGAATGGCCACGAAAAAGTATACATTTGTTTTACAGAATACTCGGTGAATGTGAAAATGTGTTCGTTTTAATATACATACAGGGTGTTTGGCCATTGGCCTGGAAGAAAATTTTAATGGACGATTCCAGAAGCGAAATGTAAGAGGAAAATGAAGAATAGCAATTTGTTGATCGAGGCTTTGTTAAAAAGTTATTAACGTTTAAAGTTCCGCCTGTAGAACGGGAATCTGCGAACAACTGTGTACACGCTATACATATGTATAGTGGTTCTCACTGAAAAAAACCTGTAAGGCTGTCGATGAGTCGGTAAATAGAGTTTCTCGTGCAGAGCGAGAACCATTATCGCATACACGCGACTGTACGCAGGTTGCCGTTCTACAGGCGGAACTTTTTAACGAAGCCTCGATCAACAAATTGCTATTCTTCATTTTCGCCTCTAGAATCTCCCATTAAAATGTTCTCCTTATTAGGCCTAGTGACCGAACACCCTGTAGAAAACTCGATGATGATGATGATGATGATGATGATGATGACGACGACGAGTACTTACTTGAGAACTTGTGACGAGTCGGACTCGTAATTGTAAGGCAAGGGGTTAATAACGAACACGATTGTATAATTTCTAATTGCGAAACGATCTTTGCTTACAGCGCGAGCGTAATAAATAAAAATAAAATGGCATCGTTGGCCCCGGATATTACGGAAATTCGCAAGATAAACAAGGCGTGTACTGTCCACGGGACGGCGACAAAAAAAAGGATCGTTTGTGGTCGTAACAGCGAGCGGGTAGCATATGCCGCGGAAGTCACCAGTCCTATGATGAAGATGCTCTCGAAACTCCTAGAACGGACTGCGTTTTTAAAGAGAAAGAGACACGGTTCTAGCAGCGACGAAACTAATGTCTGCTGTCCACTCGAGAACTCGATAAGAGCTCTTTCACACGAGCGAAACGACGAGTCTTCGGCCGATAGAGCCCTTGCCTTGCTCTTGCCTTTAGAAATTGTTCCAAGTTTCGAAGCCCACGAACACTCGAACGCGATCAGACGCTTAGAAATGTCGAAGGTGTTGGGAGTACCAAGAGCTTCGATAGCAGAGTATTTTTAATATTTCAAGTAAATAAAGTTCAGCTGCTGAAATAACAAAGAGAAACGAGGTCGCTTTTACCAATCGGAGATGCAACCCTTGAAACTTTTGCGCTCGAAGCTATTATATAGCTCCCGTAGATCAATTTAGAAAAAAAGTTATACTGAACTGATGTAGATCCGTAACAGTTTGAATTTTTTTCGTTTTAATTCAGAACCGATGAACAAATTTGTATGGGAACGTGACTGTTTTGTAGAAAATGAATTACAGAATAGTGGGAAGCGTAAAGCCAAGTAAATGATGGCGTTTTTATAGAAATTTCGTCCAGCGTGCAACAGTTTGAAAGGTGTTTCGAGCACTGGTTCTGACTGGATAGATTGTACGGATTTCGGATCGGTGCCATCGCTAGATCGGTCGAGCGCGTGTGCGCGCGCATTTAAAAGAGAGGAAGAAACGCGCGGGTGGGGTTGTCGGGTGGAAGTGGAAGTGGAGAAGCGGAGGATCGAAGAGAAATGAGATGCGCATAGAAAGGTGGAGAGAAGAAAACGGCGGTACCGGCAAACTGAACGTTTCAATGCACGCTGAGCGCTCGGGCGGCGCGCACTCGACAAAACAAGGACTGTTCAAAGTTGCTGCGTTTCCTCCCATCATCGGGACCGACGAAAAGAAACGTACGAATCGCCAGGAAAATCACGGGAAACCAGTGTGACGTTTTACGATAATTCGAAGAAGATGGCCCGATTCGTTCGTCCACGCGCGTGCTTCTTCCTGCTCCTAGCCATCCACTTGGACCAACTCTTCCCTTCGAAACGAGGTATGTAGGTACATACATACGTATTACGTCTCTTGAATATACAGTTCGATAAAAGCATTTTATTCGCTAAGGATACAATTATCACCCGAACTAAAAGAAATCCGAACGTCTCAATGTTTAGATATACGACGATATCTTAAAGTTGTAACACAGATTTTCTTTTGTTTGTCAAATGTAAAGAAAATAGAAAATCACGTTTACAAATTGTTTAATATGAATCGAAATATGTATATCGATAATGGATTTTCAGTAAATTCGGTGCAACGTTACGTTACAAATAACTGGGAATAAATAAAAAATGAACATTTAACGAAGAGTACGACGACTACGGATAGAACGAAAATTGTACTTAAAATTCAACCAAAATTGAAATTATTTAGTCGAATTGAAAAAATGTTTACACGAAGGAATTATTTTGTTTCGTTCGCTAAGGAGGACCAAGATCTGTGGATGTTGCATCGAAGCAACACATTTTACCATTGCCATTTCTTTTTTCTAAATGGGGAGAGGGGGAGGGGGAGGGGGAGGGGGTGTGTCTTTCTTTGACAGCGGTTAACCATATATCACGTAAAAGGCCCCAGGGAATTCTGAAATATCAAAAAGCAATTTTGTCGCTATCCCCTTTATAGTTCTCGAGAAACTAACACTTTGCGTGATTCGCTATTGAAAAAAACAATGTTACGGAGCAATAATAATATCCGACCGACTGTATGAAGTTAAATTTCGGATAAAATTAAAAATGATTATTCAATAAATTATGAGTTTAGTCATAGCTTGTATTAATTGTATTAAATTAGAGTGTTGATAATAAAGGAAAAAAGCGTTGTAGAGCTTTCCAGTGAAATAACTTGGCGCGCGTACTCGTTTCATTCTTATCATTGCACAAATCACGAGTTTCCTTTTAACTTGTCAACGTGTATACTCCCTACTGATTTATAGAGACTCTATTCAAACACTGTTGCAAAACGGCTCTCATAAAAATACGAGTACCGATTTTTAGTTTAATGGAATTGTTAGATAACGGTATGTATTTATAAATAGCACGAAATACCTGATAGGACACGACGTATGCAACGTAATGCAACAATTACGTTGAGAATATTATGCCATTTAGTCGTTTCCAACAAAAGATAAAGCAGTCTTATTTCTAAGAGAGATCTTGAACCGCGCATCGTTAAGATAACAGATGATTATTCATTCCGTCCTTGCTGAAAAAAAGGAACATGTTTTTAATATCGAACATTAACGTTTATCCAACGAAGCAACAACGATGAAAAATATTTGATCCAATTGGTTCTATTACCATGGAAAGAAAAAAACACAATATCGCGAAGAAACGTCCGATGAGTCACGATCAATTGAATTTTTCGAATCATAGCACGGTCGCGTTCCTCTTAATATCTTATGTGGACAAATTTAATTGATACGATTACAATCGTTTAACGATACAATAGAATTAAATCGCCTAAATCGAAGATTCTTTGTGTACTATGGATCGCATTATATGTATTCGTATTACGTCGCGCGATAATATTCCAAGAACTTTTGGTTCCATACATATGCACGGTGTGTCGGCCATTAAAGACTTTTTTTTTCTCTCGAAATTACGTAGGATTTCGGAGTTATGTGTATCGATCGAAAATTATTGTAATTGACCCTCGCGACCAAAAATAATTTTTCCAGAACGATTTGAAATTTTTGAATTTAATTTTGTTAATAACTTTTCAACGAAGCCTCGATCAACAAATTGATATTCCTCGTTTCGTCTTACTTTGGCTGCTAGAATCTCCCATTAAAATGTTCTCTCAGGCCTAGTGGCCGACACACCCTGTAAGTACATATGTACGTACATAAGTAGGTACAACACTATGACCGAATCACAAAGTAAATAATATTCGATGGTACATGGCTATTCATTCAACCAAGCGCCCCGTTATCTTTCCTTTTATTTGGAAAGCTCTTATATTACATTCGATTTTTGTTACATTATCAACACTAATTGTCTGAACATCCTACTACTCAAACCTTTTACCGTTCGACCATATTCTGTTGCGCGAACAGAGCTTGTGCCACTTTGTTTCGATAACAGAAGTCTAGATTGATACCATCTGCAGAGAAAAATGAAACCGATGGCCTATGGTAAAAGTATAGTATTCGTTATTCCGAATATAATTTCACAGCGTTGGAAATTGTTATAATCGTGGCTATCCAAGACTTTCCTCGTTATCGTTGCATTCGTTGCAACAGGAAGGATTCCGCAACGGCTTAAATTCTGTCAGGAGTAAAAGAAAAATGTTAGACAGATAAGAGATAACCGCGTCATACGGTACACCACACCGCGTTGGTCCCTGAATAAAATTCTTATTTTCTTTTCAATGTAATCTCGTTGGAGTGTTGATATTAACACACTATTCTATCAAAACGTATCATTCGATTTGTGTTTAGATGTAAATAACTGTGGGGAAAAAACTTGAAATATTTTTACGCACAAGTTCCCAAACATTGCGTGCATAAAAGATTTTGATAAAACTTTACACTCTCGTGGAGTAACTGAAAATTGAAATGACGTAGACGGGTGGAGCGGCACCCGGTGATATCGCGAGCGAGAAGCAATAAAGTTTTATTCGCTGCGAGCGTAATTGTTCCGTGGACGCTTTTCTTTTGAAGGGTTGGCGATGGTCGAGGCGAGAATGGAAGCACAGTTTGAGAAATGTTGCGGTCTTGGAACGTCGTGGGCGATGGAAGGACTCGGATGCGAAAAGTTCACGGGACCGGTGTCCGGGGTACCGACAGTGGAGCAAGGTCTTTGCTTGGAAGCCGTGGACATTTGCTGCGTGAGAGCGTATCACGAACGACAATGCGAGAAAGGGAAATCGGATGCACGTGCTGGTTTAGCATGCGTTACCGGCACTAAAACCAGACGCCTGGGACCAGGCGATTATCATCGCGACTGTTGCGAAGGCTGTAAATTGGGTAAAATCCCAATCCTACCCCCTACTACCGGACACTCGAAGCTTTCGAAAACCTGATATTTATTCCTTTTAATCGTGTCGCTGTCATCGGTAGACCGCGGATGTTTATGCATTTCATTCTCAACAAACTACAGAGTGCACTTGAAACATGCATAAATGTAAGAAATACATAAAGTATGTAAGATACTGTGTCGATGCCTCCCGTAAGTAGGTACTCGCCACCAGACGCTAATGCTCTTCACCGACCCTTTCCTTCCTATACATACATACATGTTTTTTCCATATACATACCTATAAACCCTACAGTTGCTGGAACTTGATAAGTGACCTAAATCATATCGTACTACGATTAGAGTTTAAGGGATACAGCTTACACGCTGAAGCTTAAAATAGTGTATCGATTCTTATTAAATAAGTTCGTTATTCGTTAAAATGTTATTGTGATATTTACTAGATATAGTATATGGTACATGTACATGTACATGTTCCTCGATCGATTATTAAATATTCCGTCGGCGGCAGGCGGGGGCTTACTAGGAATATTCGGCCTTTTGCCGACGAGTCCCGATCATAGACCTGCCCAACTATTCCTACACCCAAGCAAAACCCCTCGATATCAATTATTATATCTAGGGGTTGAAACAACCCTTTACAAAGCTTCACCGTTTCATTAATTCTATTAATAAAAATATGAATATGCATAAAGATCCGGTACAGTCTAGTGATTAGCGATGCTATTATAAAGTGAGAAATGCAAATGTTTAATATACATATGTATCCGTTTCTCTCGATACTAACGATAAGATTTAAGAAAATGTATGTAGATCGAGAAAACAGAGGCCAAAGGGGTTACTATTCCCAACGCGATGATTGAATTTTAGGTATCTTGACTGGATCCATGGGCCAAGAGTGCGCTTTTAAAAAGTTTACCTTCGGAATCCCCTGGGATCCGGCATTTCTGCAGTGTTGTTACGAAGCGTCACCGACCACCACGACAACGTCAACTTCCGATTCTACGAACGCAACTTTGTCGAGCGAAACTACCGAAACTTGGTCATCTTCTTCTGCTACTTCTTCTTCTTCTTCTTCTTCGACGGACGCGACGCAAACATCGTCCGAATTCTCAATTCCTACGCCTCGTATGTAAAATTATCAAAACTATTACATCTATCTCGATACCGTAACATTGAAATTTCCTTCGCGATTAGGATTACTGGAATTTCAAGTGTTATTATCAATACGCATAAATTGTACGTTGGTAGTAGTAAAATATTAACTTACAGCTATAGATGACATCTGCCAACTCATGAAACATTTATTGTGCTCCGACATCTGCGTTCCCACGCCAGGATCATATTATTGTAAATGTCGCCAAGGTTTCACTCTGCTGGAAGATGGAAAAAGTTGTAGAGAAGATCTACCGACCGACGACAGGTATAATACAAGTACATAGTAATAATAGTATTAATATTTCATACTTTACTCAGTTTACGATACGTTAAAATATTTTTAAAAAATATTGTACGTTTTCTGATTTAGATGCAAAACGAGCAACCCGTGCGAGCAGCGTTGCACGGACAATGGAGTCGCGGTCACGTGTAGCTGCGATCCCGATTATGTCTTGGCGAACGACAAACGTTCTTGCATTCGTAAACCATCGAAAACGAACAAGAGCACTCGACCGGGCGAAAACACCGATCCACTTTGTCCGAACGGTTATCGGTATAACGCTACGAATCAGGTTTGCGACGGTAAGTGTTACTAAATCAGATTTGCAACAAGACCGGATAATATGGATCACCGACTTGGTTCAAATTTCCTGCACACAGACAGTAACAACTAACGAAATCGGTGCATCCACGTTACGTAAAATCATTTTGCTAGATACGCGTTACGTCTCTATGTATACGTCTTCGTCGATGAATATCGATGAAGAAGGGTTTGTATACCGAAGTACAGTAGTTTGGAAACTACTATTGTAGATAGTGCACGTTAACAATCGCATATACGTAAAAATACAAATTTTCGTACAACGTTTACACGTCGAAAGTGCTTCTTCGTCGCAACTTTTAAGCTTACTTTTATATTCGCTCAACGAAACGGAACATTTGTTCTTGCGTGTTACGTCCACGTAATGTTGCATCGCAATTGTTGCTTCTGCCTACGGTGACTTTTGTTGGCATTGCGTATCCCGCCGCTTAGACGTGAACGAGTGCATAGAAAAAGGATCGTGCCCTGGTCAATGTGAAAACACTATAGGCTCTTATATATGCTCGGCGAAAAATCTGCTCGGAAACATACCTTACGAAGATTGTCCAGCTGGATACCAATGGGAACCTGCAACAAACCTCTGCACAGGTAAGTAGATTTTTAAATACGGTAATGTGAATCGTTATTTGCCTATCGCAATAGGAAATCGATACAAGAAAGATCTATTCGTTATGGGCGAGAACCTGTAACGCAATTTAAGAATTTAAGAGAAAATAATGTTTACAGATATCGACGAATGTAATTTATTACCAGAACCGTGTCCTAGCGACAAAAATTTTTGCGTCAATACACAAGGTAGCTTCAGTTGCCTCGAAATGAAAGGAATCAAATCCTGTCCAGCAGGATTCAAGTTCGATAAATTATCCCAGCAATGCAAAGGTATCTATTGCGTAAATAACACGCGAATCAACCAATACCGAGAACGGCCGTTCAGAGATTTTATTTCTCTTCGTTTCCCAATAATGAACTTTTATTTTATTATTTTTTCTAGTAAACTAACATGATAACATTCTTGTACTTGTGTTTTCCTATTATCGCCAGATGTGAACGAATGCGAAGAAGGTATTCACAGTTGTCTCGAGGGCACAGAAGTATGTCGGAATATCGAGGGCGCTTACGAATGCGATATAAAATGCAAGAAAGGATTCACGTATAACATCAATTTCGGCAATTGCACCGGTAAATATTTTCCTGTTCTTTTAATATTTCATTCAAACAACTAACTGGTAAAGTTCACTGTTTTTACGCTATAGATTATGCAATAACCATCTAACGCGTCGATAATATGTAATTTTCTTTTTCTGATATTAACTTTTCCCTGTAGGTGTGTGCATGAATAAAACCATTTTTCATACCTTCGCTAATTAATCGAACGGTCGAATGTACCTACCGATCGGAAATTTAACGTATGTAAATGCCTGCGTCGATCCAGCATGCACTGTATCGTTATCTGCATGTGAGTAGACATCTTTATACGTACATTCTTACGTACTTACGTTTCCGTATTTTTCTTATTTACCACTTTATGATAACGCGGTAAAACTTTTTATTAGAAAGGATCGAAATACATATCACCGCCGACGCGAATCGACCGATTCGAGTAGAAATAATTTTTCTAGAAAATTCTGATTCCGAATTCTTATTAAATTTCGCTATCACCCGCTATCGCCCGCTATCGCCCGCTATCGCCGTATAATTTTTTTTTTTTATCTCTAGACGTGGACGAGTGCGTCGGGAATCCTTGTTTGGGAACGAATACCACGTGTAAAAATACAATAGGGAGTTACGAATGCACACGGGCCTTGAATAAATCTTTGATTCGCTCTTCGCTCGACCAAACGACAGAATTGTCAATTTGCACCGCTGGATACAAGTCAACGAACAATCCCACGGAATCCTGCACCGACGTTGACGAATGTAAAGAGCAGTTGCACTCTTGCGACCTGGACGAACAATGTATCAACGAAATCGGTAGTTACAGGTGCGTTTAAAAAGATTTTACAAGTTTACCCGCGTCTGAAAAACCTTGCAATTTTATATGTCTGGTAATAGTACATAATTCGTTGTATATTCAATTAATTAGATGCGAATTATTGTACGAAGAGAACTCCAGTTTGGACGAGAAGGAGAAAACTGATGATGATTTCTCGTACGGTAGAGGATACAAACCTCAAATTACAATCGAGGCTTCGACGCCGGTTTCTAAAGTTCGTAACGCGACGCTGATTTGCGAGTCGGGGTTCATTTTCGACCAACTAAACCGGGACTGTATCGGTAAAAAAAGATATAAAGAAATTAATATTATACGATCGTACACCGAACTTGCATACTAATTAGAAAAATAATTATTGGTGATTCTAAAATTGTTAATTTTATAGATATCGACGAGTGTAGCAACGGTTTATCGAACTGTGGCATCGGTGAACAGTGTGAAAATTTTGAGGGAGGATACGGATGCTCTGTAGCAGCGTGTCCCCTTGGTTTTCAGCTACGTAATAATAGCGATTACTTTAGCAGTGTCGACGAGTCTTGCAAGGATATAAACGAATGTGTACTTGGATTACATTCTTGCAACTCGTCGACTCATTATTGCGTTAATACGCATGGTTCTTACTCTTGCGAGTCGTTTACGACAACTACAACTACAACTACAACTACAACTACAACCGCAACTAGGACAAAGAAACCTTTCTATGCTGCAACGAGTAATAAAGTACAGGTACATACGTGTATACATAACCGAAACTTTTTTTAAATGAAAATACATATTCCATTTCGTGAAAATAAATGAAACGGATGAAATGTTATAGTTTCCGGGAGAAGCAACTGCAATCGAAACGTTTGAAATGAAATGAATGTTGTAGAATGTCGGCCGTTTGTCGTCTCTGGAGGCCTGTAAGCGCGGTTACGCGAGGACATTGGATACCGGGGAATGCACGGACGTCGACGAGTGCGTCTCAGGACCGGGTTGCCGGGATTACGAACAGTGTCGCAATATACCGGGCGGCTACGAATGTTCGCCACTTTGTACCACCGGTTGGTACTTTAGCACAGCGACGAAAGGCTGCCAAGACGTCGACGAGTGTCTTTTGGGCAGGCACGATTGTCACCAGGGTACACACAGATGCATCAACACAAATGGTTCTTTCTTTTGCGAATTGATACCAGCTTGCAGCGCGGGTTTTAAACGTTCCTTTAGCGGGGTTTGCGTCGACGTCGACGAGTGCTCGGAAAACATGCACAACTGTCGATTAGAGTTGCATCAGTATTGCGTGAATAAAAACGGCACTTTCGAATGCCTTACGAGGTTACCGTTATGCCAGTCGGGGTACGAGTATTCTCTGGTTAGCAGACGATGCAAAGATATCGACGAATGTAGCACCGGCCGATACAAGTGTGACTCGAAATCCTTGGAGAAATGCATCAATCTACCTGGAACGTACAGGTATATTATCTTCGTTTAATCGTTCGGAGTCAGAAATTAATATTTTTTTTCCCATATTTTTGAAAACTGATTTAAACGTTGATCTATTTAGAAATAGCCTACGAGTATGTTACTATTGTGGTATCACTCTCCCCATCACGTTGATCTATTTAGGTGCGAAAGGCCTGCGACGCAGTTTGGCCGTCAGCGTCAGAGACCAGCCTGCCCTTCCGGTTACAGATACCACCCCCGATTAAGAAAATGCACAGGTACAACTTGACAAATTTCACGGAAGATCGTTTCTTTATATTTTCAATTCTAATCCCAAGAGAAACGGTAAGAAAGAAATATTTTTAGTCTTCTGAAATAAAGTTTTAATGATCATATTTAACGATAACATTTTTTCAGGGCGAAAGTCGTAAATACTTTTATTCGAATGTTGCAACGTTTAATATGTTAACGAAACACGTGACAGTATAGTATATTAGATATTATTAGATTGCATATCCTTCGGGTTTAGGCGTTAGCTGTTTATGTGCATGTAAATTTGTTTTGTACTGCTGTAAAATATGCTTTGTTACGTCGTGTGCATCGTATTTGTGTAAAGAAGTAGTTTCGAGTCATATCGCGATAGAATTAGATTTAATTGATCGGTGGAAGTTTGCATTGGTACGTTTAATACCGAAACCACCGAATCGTCTGTACGCTGGAGCTGATTAGAAATTTATATGTACTTGATATAGATGTAGACGAGTGCGCGGAGGGTTTGGACGTCTGCGAGGGCGAGGTTTGTTACAACCAGCCGGGCGGTTACAGTTGCGCCAAGCCTCCGGTGCCGATCACCAGGAAACCGACCACGGTCACGGTCACGGTCACGTTGCCAGTATCGGCGAACCAGAAGTGCGCCGACGGTAGCAAATTCGTGAGGAATCGCGGCTGCGTCGACATCGACGAGTGTCGCGAAGTAGAAGACGTGTGCACCAGCAACGAACAATGCGTGAATACGATAGGGAGTTACAGTTGCAATTGTAAGATCGGCTACAGACGCGATAATCTCACCCAAGCTTGCGTGGACATCAACGAATGTCAAATACAGGTAAACGCGAACATTCGGATTTAAATATCTCGCAACAAGACTGGGTTCGAATGTGTGTGTTCGGGTAAGAAGAAAAATATTATTTTGTTGCAGGAAGACAGTTGTTTGCCAACGCAAAGGTGCGACAATACCATTGGAAGTTACACCTGTACGCGATTTTTACCGTGCGGTACAGGATACACTTTGAACGCCGCCACCGAGATCTGCGAGGACGACGACGAATGTAGCCTTGGCACTCACGATTGCGGGGATGGTTATCATTGCAGAAACACGCTCGGTTCTTACCGGTGCGATCGCAATCCGCGTATGCCGGCCCCACAGCCACGAACAGCGGTTGCAACCACCGCCAAGACAACCACACCGATCACGACCACGACCACGACCACGACCACGACCAATTCTTCGTTCAAGCCCCCCCAATGGCCGCACACTTGCCCCGTCGGATTCGAGCTCGGTTCTGGAAACATATGTTTCGATGTAGACGAGTGCCAACAGAATCCAAATCCTTGCGGCAGAGCGATGCTGCGTTGCGTCAATACGGTGGGATCTTACAAGTACATGTCACAAACTCTGATAACAATTCTATACGTGTATTTGATCGGCAAAATTATTTTAATCGGAAAACGAATGATTTTCATTTATCCTGGTAGAAGAGATTCTAACGACTAACGATTAAAATAATTGTTAGGTGTGCATCGAGAGTGATATGCAGCAACGGATACACTTTGGACCCGTTGTCGGGGCAATATTGCGTGGACAGGGACGAGTGCAAAGATGGTAGCCACGAATGTGCTCCGGATCAAAGTTGCGAGAACAGATTGGGTGGATACGTTTGCGTGTGCCCGGCTGGACACGTAAACGGACCGAACAAGGACT